AGTGGTGTGTGGGTGGGGGTCGTGTCATAGGGTTCGTGACAGCAACTTGCTACATGAGATTACCCACAGTTCCCCCCAGGGATAACCTACTTTTGACTTTGTAAGTCCGTCTGGCAGGAGCTGAACCACGCTGTGCCATAGTCAGCATAGCCTAGGGATTTAGAGGATGATGGATTCGGGGTCATCATCCATCCTCTGACGAGGAGGTTCAGTGGTTACTCATCCTTCACAGCTTGCTGCTCACGGGTTTCGATCTCCCCCTTACATTAATTAAATGTCAGCAGTTTCATGTCTCTTGCTGGTCTTCGAATTGGTTGGTTGATAAACATGATCAGCACAACTTGTTTCATATTATTTTTCTTTTGAAATTTTATCTGAAAAAATAAGGATTGGGTAGCATTTGGTTGTATTTCATAGTTCCCCAGTACACCTAATTTCAAATTATGCGTATATACTTTGTGTTTTTTGTTTCTTGGTTGCGTAAGTAAGGCTGACATAATGTGATATGACTGAAATTCTGTACAATGTTCCGCAAGATCCAACTCGCTCACTCACTCACTCACTCATGCACCGACTCAGGTTAAACTGTGGCAAGGTATCTAAGTTGAAAAGCACCATTAAACTGGCAAAAGTCCGGACCAGTACAAGAGGCCACACACGTGCAAGCACATCGCTCTATGAGTGAAATAATATTGAACGTAACATTAAATCCCATTTCACCTCACAGTATTATTTATTTTTCATGTGATTGTCGTTCCAAATATTATTGAGTAAAATCCTGGCAATCTGTTTGAGTTTGCCGTGGTGCAGGTAAATTGACTCCTAAATATAGCATGCAACTAGCCATTGCTCAGCACCTGAATTGGTGATATTCAATTGTTACTGTGCTTAGAATACCACAGTTGTCGGTTTGCGTGAATCACGAACACACATTCTAACAACACCAGGTATTTGATGAGCCATAGATTGAATAAAAAGGATTGTTTATTTCCTGAACCTGGTAATCATGGGCTTGTGACCTTCAGAGTGGTACGTGTCTGCTGAAATATTTCCTTGGCTTGTTGAGTCAACAACAGGAAATAATACATCTGTAGTGTTTGGGAGACAATTTGTTGAGTAAGGCCGATAGAAAAGTCATGTCACCGAATTGATTTTACTTTGGCCATAAAAGAAATTGTGTCATTTAGCTATTAGAAACTGTTGGTCCGGATTCTAATCCCAATTACGATGCTTCATGGTTTGTTAGAACCATACCCATGCTTGTGAGTTTCACCAAAGTGGTAGACTTGTGTGACCTGCCTCCATTTGAGTTTTCCTACCATGTTAGGCTGATATGCGATATGACTGAGATACTGTTCAAGCAGTGATAAGCCAAGTCTTGCTCACTTTGTGAGCAGTTGTTACACTGTGTTATTGTAAGTTATGTCATTACTGTGAGGGGCCTTGGCTGTTAGAATACAATGGCATGCTTGTTAGCCAGGGCCAGGTTCCACAAAGCTTTCTTAACATGAAGACTGTCGTGAGATATATATTAAAGTATCGGAGTTTCACTTCGTACTATGACTGTCGTAAGTCAGATATTTTAAAGTATGGGAATTGCCCTTCGCACGAAGACTGTCGTAAGTCAGATATATGAAGTATAGGAGTTACACTTAGCACAAAGACTGGAGAATATATAGATATTTTTTTTTTTTATATTGACTTATTACAGGAAAGGGGTCACAATGTCAGCACTCCTGGAAATATGACATTAGTGACCAAGTGGTCTAAGGTGTCACAATTCAATGTATGGAGTTGCATCCCTTAACCATGCCAGGATCTGCTGAATGTGGGCTTAAATCCCAGATTCCTGCTATGTTATGCTGACATGCAGAGATATGACTGAATCCCATTGATAGCAGCATAAATCTCTAAGCCACTCCCTCCCTCACCCACTACAATAGGTCAATTTGACAACTGAGAACCATGTACATCTAATTGAAATTATAGGAAAGTAGCCCATCCACAGCCTTAGAAATTTGATGACCGCTTCCGAGGTCTTGTGGAAGAGCGTCTACCCGGACAGCAGAAGGTCCGGGGTTTGATCCCCGGCCGCGTCATAGCAAAAGACATTAGCATGGTATCTCAGTGGGCTAGCACTATAAATCGGCATCAGTCTGGACTAGTAGAAGCAGCCATACACACACGCGTGCATGCACATCGCTACATAAGTGCAATAATCTTCAACGTAATGTTAAACCCAGTTTCTCCTCACCTCACCTTATAAATTTGGGTTAGGGTTTTTTAGACCAGTTCAGGGGACAGGTGTAAACTTTATGTTCACTACCGTATTCGAAGTAATAAACGCCCAGGGCGCTCTCAAAATTAGAAATCGGGGGCTCTCATCAGAACATTTTGGTGGAAAAAACAGAGTTGAAAGATAAATTTCATGGTTTATGCTAGCAGACTGAAATGTTTATATGCGACAGATATATTTTTCCAGAATTTAGTTGCCCATAATTAAGAATGCATATAAGACACGAGTGCGTATTATACGTGAATAAATAAGTCTTGTGTACATTGATCAATCGGAAGGGGTGCTAATTGGGATTGTTCACTAGCCAATATATTAGCAAATATCGCCGTGGGCTCTTATTAGGTACCGTTAATATACATTTGCTGTCAGATTTATTCAGAATTGAAAACATTGAGAACTGATTCAAAATGAATGCCCTCAAACATGTCAAATGCTACTAGTCATTGAGGACTTCCATCATTGGATTTTTACTTGTCCTCAGCACAAATTGGTTGTCTCTGGCTGATCCAGATATTCATTGTCTAGGACAAGTGATTGTGTAGAACCTTGATCATCCAAACCAAAATGTTGACCTGTAATAGATATGTTGACAAATTCAGTTTTCTTATCCTTGGAACCATAAGTGTAAGCAGGCTGAGTTGTTGTATAGTTGGTTCAACACATGACTTCTGCTGATGTCAGACACAAGAAGCATGTATTTGTGTGCAGATGTTTTTGAATTTGTCTTCTGTGAATATGAATATAGATGATTCATGTGACTATGCTATATCACCTGCTGATGGAAGCAGAACTGTAAATACTCTGTGTTCAGTGAACCATAGCATTCTATACATGGCTTGCAGCAGGTGTCACAGCTCTGTTCGCAGCCGACGCTAGGTGAAGCAACTCAGGTATATGATGTTTGTATGGCTTGTCTTGACTGTTTCCTCATCATTTGAATAATCATCACTGAGGGAAACTTTGGAAATAAGATTTCTTTTTACCTCTGGGCGGTGGGGTAGTCCAGTGGTTACAGCATTCACTCAAAATGCTGAAGACCTGGGTTTGATTCTCCACATGGTGCAGTGTGTGAGGACATTTCTGGTGTCACTGCCATGATGTTGCTGGAATATTGCTGAATGTGTAATAGGATACACCCTGACTCACTCTTTCTTCCTCTGAAACTAGGGATAGATCGCTGTGGGCGAGTATGGCTACAGTGCAGTTGTATATGTGGGACTTGTCAGGGTTACAGCGTTAGAAGTTTTCACTAGTCCTGTAGTCCTTACCAAACTGCCCAATAGTAAAGGTATCCTAAAGACTAGTAGAAATTGGCCCATTTTAAGGGTTTTGCTATATGTTATCATTATAAGGACTAGTGGACAAAAACTGTTAGTTTCTAACCCTGGGTTAGTTACTCTCACTAGTCCACAAGTCAGAGACTAGTGAAAATATGGAAGGACTAGTTGTTTCTCTTAATTTGGTTGTTATATGTGTTAGGGTTGGTGTATTGCCACATAAATCCTATTGCAATATATCGCAATTTGGAGAGCTATATTGTGATACATACTGCAACACGTTTGGGGCTCAATTTATGTTCATTTGTACTGTTCAAATGGTACTTCTTCATTCAATAATCCAGACTTAAGATTGCGAGATGGATGGATGAATGAGATTACCATTTACATCATCAATATGGAATGTTAATGTAAACAGTGTGAAGCATGTGCTATTTACATGGCTAAGATAGGAACCCAGTCCATCCAAATGCCGCAAGATTTCAGATATTATTAGTACGTACCGTAGTTACATTGTATGTGTTAATTCATCTGTGACTTAATAAGAGTATATCGATATGCAAGGCTTGTATTGTGATATGTGTATTGCTGACGGACCTGTTGCAGCGTTAGAAACGAACAGTTTTCGTCCACTAGTCCTTATAATGATAACATATAGCAAAACCCTTAAAAATGGCAACTTTCTACTAGTCCTTATGATACCTTTACCATTGGGCAGTTTGGCAAGGACTATCGGACTAGTGCCAATTTCTAACCCTGCCTGTTGTGATATACCAGTATACCAGTTATATATCACACACCTCTAACATATGTCATTACTTGTCCGTACTGAGATGCTGTCTGGTTGGATATGATTCACCATGTCTACCCCTTTAAAGTCTGTAATGCAGAATCTATATTTTCACTGGATGTCATTTCTGGCTGAAATAATTTCTGTTGTCTGTTCATTTGTGGGGTACCTTTTTACATTGCCCAATTTCTCTGTATTCACATCAGAGTTGTCCTTTTGAAACCAATCTTTTTCCAAGAACAACATATTGTAGATTGAATGGTTGTGGCAGTTGTGTTGTGACGACACCTCCGACACCTTGTTGATCAGTGTTTACAACAGTTTCTAATCTTCAGTCCATGGGCCTGACTGCACGTAGCTGTATGATCCTACTGATGATGGTATAAGATCTCATACGTAAAGGCGACTAACAGGATCGGGTGGTCAGACTCGCTGACTTGGTTGATGCATGTCATCATATCCCAATTGCATTGATCATGCTCATGTCGTCAATCACTGGATTGCATGGTCCAGGCTCTATTATTTACAGACCCCCGTCATATACTGGAGTAACGCTGAGTGCGGCGTTAAACCAAAAAAAAGAAGAAAAAAGCGCTCCTCTAATATTTTTGATGACATGACATCTCTTTTGTTTCAGATTTAACCAGCATCCTGATAATTCAAAATGGCCACCACTGAACAGAAAGTTGACCCTTCCATCTTGGGCGCCATCAAGGCAGACCACAAACTGAAGCATGTGGACACAAGCGAGAAAAACCCTCTCCCATCCATGGAAGGTAGGTCTGCAGAATGGTCTACAACTAACTTCTTTCACTTAACAGCAGGGGCGGTCGGGTAGCCTAGTGGTTAAAGCGTTCGCTCGTCACGCTGAAGACCCGGGTTCGATTCCCGACATGGGTACAATGTGTGAAGCCCATTTCTGGTGTCCCCCGCCGTGATATTGCTGGAATATTGCTAAAAGCGGCGTAAAACCATACTCACTCACTCACCACTAACAGCAAACATTTTCAGATGATTTGTCTGTTTTCTGCATGGTTTACTTTTGTGCATGTCCCTTCATTTTATCTGGCAGGTACTGACATTATCTATAGCTTAAATCTACCTTCCTTTGAACTGCAAGTATGAATGCTTGATAAATCCTCAACATCAAAGGTTATTATCAAACTGTCCTTTGAGATGTAGATGATATAATCAATGAAGATAAAGAAATATTTGTACAAGTTAGAAACCACGGTTCAAAGCATGAATGCGTGATAAATCCATTACATAAAAAGTTCTTATCAACTCTCCTTTAAGTTGTAGACAATATAAATTATAATGAATGAATACAAACAATCTGTTTAAGATTACACAAGTAGGAGTAATTGGTGCTTAGGTATGGATAACTTTGTAAAGCGTGTTTACTTGGTCAAAGTTGAAGCCAGATAGTAAATACATGTCCCTTTGAGCGTTCACAAGGAAGACATTCAGCCGGAAGAAATATATTATCTGTACTCGACCACTCCAGTTTCTGATACTCAATCAGATCCTCATGCCCAGGCTTCCTCCGGTTGAGGTTAGGAAATATGATATATGTGTGACTAGCAATGTATATTGTGTGATTATCCTATCTTCAGGGGACATTTGAGATCCTGAAGTACATCAATAAAGTTTCCTTCTTGATAAATACTGAACCATCTGTATCGAAATGATTGACATTGATGAGGTCACTCCGTCTTTAGTCTTTTTTTTGTAATTGGTTGATTTTGTACAGAAGCCCGTTCCAAGTAGTCAAGCCATGTCACTCATTATGCCCCAAACAATAGTAGATATGTTTCAGGAACAGATATGGGTCATAGGGATGTCATGATTCACCAATTGTACCGATGCATCAGTAGATAATTCTCACAATATGATATGAGATACATGTAAATTTATATCGATACAAAATTGTATTGAAATCAGTATCCCGTTCGCGTATGGATTGATTTTTCTATTCGAATCGAAATGTCATATTTTCTGAATTCGACACATACGAAAACTTGTTAGTGTCTGACACTTGTTTGAATAAACAGAATCAACCTTTTCTAAGGATTATTATTTAACAAAATAATCTGCTGATAGTGATTAGAACACATAATTGTGAATGTGATGTGTAATTAGAAAGTTTGCTTCTAAATTTACGCATATTGCTGTATCGAGATACGTATCGTATCTTGACCTCAAAATCGAGATACGTATCGTATCGTGAGGTACTAATATCATGACACCCCTATGGGTCGATAGGTAGTTCTTGTTTTATAATAAAATTAAAAAATGTTTGTTTGGCGATTATGTTAGTGTGTTTTGTTATGTGAAAATGGCTACAGCAATAATATGCGGAAACATCAAAGTTTATTCCAGTATGGGTTTCTTTATTGCTGCTTCAGCTGTGATAAATATATTTCGGTTGCAAGTGAAACAATAGATTGGACAGATAACCTGAAACACAAGTAAACTTTTTGGCCTTAACAATATTTTCTTATCATAGAAACTACTTTGCTGACATTTATTCAGGACATGCTATTCAAATCATATTCTATTTCTGCCTTTACAACATTTGATACATATTAATTAATGTTAATAGTTGTCATAGTTTCCTTGATGGAAGCAGGAAATATTAACAAAAAGTAACTGAAATATCTTAAAGAGCCTGCCAAAAGTCAATATTTCACACACATAGCTTCTTGGTATAAATATTGTATCCCCATGTTGGATATATATCCCCCTAATGATGAATACAGATGTTCTATGACGAGGAAATCATGTCAGTCAAGAATGTATGAAGTCAGCTTTGTTTGGATACCGTGTAAGCACTTTGCTCCAATAAACGCCCCATGAACAACTTTTACACCAAGCTTTTACTAATCTTTATAAGCACCAGCACTAAGCACAGAAATTTACTGGTGTACATCACAGATTTCTTCACAGAAAATAGCAGTGTAGATGTGTGGTTTTGATAAGCCCCCTTTGTTAATTTTCTTAAGGCTGACATTGTCGGCAATAGTTTATTCATTTGTTATATTGATTAATATAATTATCAAGCCTTGGTTTACTTCTATCGCCATACTAATGCAGTAGTTGACCATTATCACATTACAATTACGATAGTGTTGGGTAATATAGCAATACTATCACAATAGTGAAACTATAGCTCCAATAGGTGCCTCTACCTGTGAGGTGCAAGAGAGAACAGCAAACACTTCACTCTGCCACCGTTGCATTGCAAGATCACATGTTTATTATTGGTTTTCAAGGAAATACTTTCTATCTTCTTAATGACGGTGAATGGAAGGGTTAATTCAAAGTGAAGTTTCCCACATTACAAAGTTTTTCGCTCGTCACGCCAAAGACCCGGGTTCGATTCCCCACATGGGTACAACGTGTGAAGCCCATTTCTGGTGTCCCCCGCTGTGATATTGCTGGAATATTGCTAAAAGCGGCGTAAAACCATACTCGCTCTCTACAAAGTTTTTCCCTGCACAGAAATTCCCTATTGTGATGATTACCCTTGTGTCAAGGTCATTGTTTACCACCCTACTGATGGAGTGCTAGGTATGGGTAATGGAGGTTTAAAGTGTATCACAATAATATTTTGCAATGTACTAGAAAGTATTTCAATACATATAACGATATATTGTATAATTCTAAATTTTTAATTCAGAAGCAATCTGATACATTAACGTATGAATTGAAGTTCATAAATGGAACAAAGCAAGATGCTGGCACAACATTAATAAATACGCAGCCATCCCAGGGCCCTGGATGCTCGCTCCTGGGCAGCAAAGGCACTTGGCAAATATTTAACATTAACACAAGTCTTGATAAAAATTGCAGTTTGAAATCGCCCTATATATCGAGCATGAAAAAATGATATTGTGATATGATTCGTGGACAGAATGGACCTCAGTTTACCGGTAATACCTCAGCCCTAATCTGTCTTACAGAGGGGGCACGGGTGGCCCAGTCGTCTAAGGCGCCGCGATTCGCTGTGCAGAATTGCGTCCCTTGGGCACGCCAGAAACCTATGATTGTGGGTTCGAATCCCGGTTCGCCCCGATTATGTTTCTAGGTTTGTCAGCACCATATCCGTGCTCGTGGGTTTCACCGAAGTGGTAAACGTCTGAGACCTGCATCACTTCGGGCTTTCCTCCCACATTAAGCTGACACGCCGCGATATAACTGGAATATTGTTAAAAGCGGCGTTAAACCCAACTCACTCATTCACTCACTCACTGTCTTACAGACCCTGATACAAATATATATCAAATACAGCCCATGCAAGTCTATAATCTTTGGCAAGTCTAGATAACTGCTGAAAATGAAGAGAGTCACTGGGCTCCCTTTTATTATATTTTTGTTAAGTTAACTGAACAACTGTTTTTTCTGTACGATATGTTCATTTCAGAGACTAGATGTTAGTCTACCTCAACCCATTAAGTAGTACTATTCAAGAATCCTGTTGTGTGTTTTACAGACAGTCAGGAATTGGCATGACATGTGTGACTGTGATGTGTGAACCATCTTGTCATTGTATGGACACAATTGTTGAGCTTTTGATTTGTGTATGATTTTCTTTGTGTATGATCTTTCAGCTTAAGCTTTAGTAGATCATTCAACTGTTTTTCATGGTTACTCTACTGTACTATATCCCTGTATTTGCATATTGTTCAATATAAATCTGGTATCGTTATTCCACAAACTTTAGAATTTGAAGACAATTCAGGGTTTTAGATTGGTTCATTTTCTTGGAAACTGACTGATCATATTCCAAAGATTCCTCAATTTTTATATTCCAATTTGGTATAGATATAGAAAAATGTCATATCAAAATTTGATAAAATCATGTAAATATCCTAATGCGATTTGTCTCCAGCAAAATCACTGATCTTTTAACTCTTGGAATGACCTCTAATCATCCATTTTGCGACATATTTCGGTCTTTCTGCTGGCTTTTAAAAGTCGGTATATAAAAGGAGAAAATTCTGATGAAAAATTTGAAACATGTTTTTGCAGATTTGACCTTGTGATTAAGAAAATGGTTTTGAAATCTGTTATTATTCTTATAACATTAAATTACGTTTTGACATTTCATTTATTTGAAGGTTGGTCAATACCCAGAAAGATGTACAGATGCACTCATGCATCTTGACACTTGACTGAATGTAGCCAATGTTATTGCCTTATCAAGGAGCTACTCATCTTGAGAAAGATGCGAATACTGATATACCTGTGGAGAACAGACCAAAAAGCATTTGAAAGATCAAATATCCTTTGCTCCAGGGGCCATGTACATTTCTTTGTGAATACCTTGTATTGAACAAAAAATATTGCAGAATTATTACAGAGACACTTTTCAAAATAGTTTATCTTGCTTATGGCATGGCCCCCAGTATAGCTGTATCGGTGTTTCTGTGACAATCGCATGATGTTGTAGATGTAACTCAGGAGAAGAATCATCAACAATTCCTTGATGGAGTCAGCACGTTTGATAAGTCGACATTCCATCATGCGGAAACAAAGGAAAGGGTTATTCTGCCCGACACCAGTAGTGAGTTCGCTTGTCTTTCTGCTTTCTTTACTGTTTGATTGGCTGGAGGCACTTGTTCAAAGTTGCATCATGGGATTTGCGAATATTGATGAAATTGTTTATCGTTAATGTTCAGTAGGGATGAGAATTGTGTGCAGATCTGCGGAATTTCACAGATTTTGTTTTGTCATGGGTCACTTTTGGAATACAATATGCCATCACAATATAACAATTCCTATAGTCCCCAAGACCCCCCGGCTACTTTCAGTGCTGTATTTTTTTAATTCTTCTCATCCTTGAAAAATTGAATGTGAATAAATTCTCAGTATTCGCAAATGTTAGGACTGTGAACATGGCTCCATTTTGGCCTATATTTATCTCTGTTAGGTACTATATAGATTCACTGCTTTTTTATGCTTTCAAGAGTTTGCTTTTGTTATTTATTGCTCTAACATGCTGCATATTGTAACATAGGTTGTTGGTATGCTTCTTGCATAGCTTCAGCTTGATTGGTTGCTAGGGCTTTGCAAAATGCTGCTTTAATAGTTATGGCTGCTTTAGCATTGCTGCAATATGATTGGTAGTTTAGATTAGGAGTTTCTGCAGCTTCAGCATTACTGTAATATGATTGGTTGTTTAGATTTATAGATTCTGCAGCTACAGTATTGCTGCAATATGATTGATTGTTATGATTCTGTTTCCATAATGTTTTATGTTCTGTCTTTCAACACAAGGCCTGTCCTTGACATTGTCTTTATATTAAGGTTAATTTACAATTATTTAGTGTTTGGCAAAGTCACAAATGTAAAGTTGAAAATGCTAACACTTGATTTAATTTCTGCATGCTTCTGTTCCCTGAGCATGTATATCCAATGTTTAGCAATATTTATGGTTCTTCATCCCTTTTCTTAATTTACCAGTTAGCTCTGATTCCAGTGGACAACACACAAAAATGGTTTTCTTCCAAAATCATGTAGTTAAATAAATCAAACCATGACCATGAAACAAACATGCAGTCAGATGTTACAACTATCTTACTGTTTAAATAAACTCTATAAGGAAAAGGTAAAATATACAATGGGTAAAGGGCAGATTAGGAAATGCCTTGAAATGTCAGTTTTGAAATATTTTTGAAAGTGGTTGACATTTTTACAAGCCTTGTACCACAATGATCATCTTTACCACATATACTGCTTGTAAACCAAACTTAAACATCACAAACAAGGCATAGTATGAAAACGCAGTGTGCCAATAACAGTCCCACAATGCCTTGTAATGGGAGTCAGTGACGGGTAAAATAGACAGTTTTACTTGTGAAAGAGATCACTGTTAGAGTCTCATGTCCTCTGGGTATAAGTTACAGCATGTGGTATTCTAACAATGTTCAGCTTGACTCGGCTGCTGACTGCAGTAATAGTCCAGATCTTACTTCAGGGAAATAGTTAAAAATGTTGTTTTGGTGTGCCTGGTTGATGTCTATTGGTCTGCCTGGGTCCTGAGGTAGCCTTTCTGTCAGTTTGTAAAATGACTGAAATATTTAGGCATTTCGTTAATTGCCTAAGCGAATCACATTTTAAATAATTGACTAACATATGTAAGTTCTCAACTACATAAGACAGTGTAGTATCAGCACCAAGTCTGTTTATATTCTTCCTTGTTGCTGAGCAAACAGCACAACTATGTCTATGTCTGTAAACAGTCCAGGGTAGACCCTCCCTTTACCCTATATGATGCCCTATCATTGTCTTTAACCAGTGTATAGCTGTGCATGTGATACCCTTATATTGTCCAAGCATCCTGGTGTAACCCTATATCTCACTCCCTCACCTCTTCCGATCATCCTGATCCTCTAAGCACAGGTCAGTATCGTTGGTAGCTCGGTCGTCTTTAAGTGGGGACGGGTCCAAATTTACTTCCCAGGGACTCGCTGTAGGTCTAAAGAGTTGGGTACAAAATGTCTAATTAGGTACTGTTTACCTGGAGACCAGGTAAAAACTCTTAAGATAGACTTATAAGAGGATTGGATCATGCATACACTGAAGTTGAAGCTTTATCTTTACTCAAACATATAAAAGTCAGAAGGAATGCAGGCATAGTCAGACAGAAATGCAAAAATTAGTAACTTGTAGTGTTACCATGGAGTTTTATTGTTATTTTCATTAAACAATTTATCACATGACTATTCATGGTTCTGGGGAGTTAAGTGGGTACCTGGGACCTGCTCAGGACATCCTTTCAGAGTTGCATCCCTTAGGAATACCAGACACCTGTGATCATGGGTTCAAATCTTGGGTCGCCCTGATTATGTTTCTAGAATTGTCAGCACCTGTACCAGTGGGTTTCACCAAAGTGGTAAACACTGTAAGACCTGACCTGCATCACTTCAGACAATCCTCCCAGATGAAGATGTTACCTTGGGATATTACTGAAATACTGTTCAAAACAGCATTAAACCCATCTCCCTCACCTCATTGGACCGCATATGTCACATGGCATGGGCGACTGTGGAATAACACCATGGTCATGATCGACAGGAGATGTAACCAATAGGAAGCCATTGCAATGCTTTTCTCTCAATAACCTATAGGTCTGTCTATATTTGATAACCTGTCTGATACTTTTGTATGTTAAAAGATGAATTTCAAATCTTCATTACAAAACATGTTGCCAGTCAGAACTGCTCATCTTTAAAGAATAAGGTCAGAAAGACATGCTAAATTTTGATTGGTCAAAATAATGTGCCTGGAAGCTGATTGGCTGTCAGCACAGATGCTGATTGCAACAGCCATGCAATGAAAGTTCCAGCAATTCAGGACATCAAGATGAAGATTTGCAACTCTACAGTGAATCTCCTATTTACTCAACAGTAGTACATTGTATATCCTGAATTGTAACACTAACAGCATCATGTTGTATTGTATCGTTATCAGTGGAACAGGGTTCCCATGGGCAAGTGACAATACAGATGTCTTACATTCTACAGAGAGACAACCAAAGTCAAAGAATTTTGTTCATTCAACAATGATCAAAGAATTATCCAAGTCTAACTTGGTTGTGTCTATTTATGCCTTGTAACTTGTCACCATTAAGTACCCGCTCCTCTCCATAAAACCCACAAAACCCAACAAAAAACAAATAAACAACAATCAGGAAACAAAACCCCAAAACGTGTGTTTCCTGTTTCCTGACAGACCCTTATATGAGTGGCACCATTGCCTTTTCTTACCATCTGTGTTTTGTCTTTGTTTTATGCCACTAGTGTAAATTTAAAAATTGTTGCTCTTGGCTAAGCATCCCAGCAAACCCAACAAAACTATACACTTCCAGACTTCTACATAAGATCTGATTTTAAACTTTTCACACCCTCTCTTTTTGAAATGATACCTTTTGATGCAAGCAATGTGATGTCAACGTCAGTGAAACAAGCCCATGGTTGCCCTGAGATAGCTGATTTCCTATCATGTAATAACAAGACTTGTATCCCACGTTGTGGTCCTGTATATCTCATACCATGGTACCTGTACACACTGCATGTAATAATACGACATGTATCTCACACGTGATTGTCCCGTATACCACACATAGCAGGTGCCCGTACACACTGCATGTAATAAAACTTCTATAATAATCAATTTCAACATACATTTGCTGAATTGATATATTTTATTGTACGTTGGTAATAGGCATCGGAGCAAATTAACTTTTTCATTTTATTTTCATATTGTTAATAGCACTTTAATGCCTTTTAGAATTTTGTGTTTATTTTTTAATTGGCAGGATTTAAATCATTATGGGAGCATCTTTGTTATTGAGACCCATTCATCTTCTCACGCAGAGAAAAGTGTCATATTAAATCTGTACCGAAGCAGTCATTTTGTAAATATCCCAACCATTTGATCAAATTTGGAATGTTTATATCTATCTACCATTAGTATTTTCGAAATATGAATTTAATAAAATACTTACATAAGGTAGAAATGAAAAGAAAATGGTTTGTTCATCCTTCCATCTAAAACATTCTTTTTTCTGTCACAATTTTTAAAATTAATGTTGAAATGCATAAATTATTTCCCCTCCCTGATTGCAAGGCTGGCCATTTGAGTACAGATCAGTATGACATTGTTTCACTATTCTGACCTTTGAAGGTCAAGGTTTCAATTAATTTCTCCTTTCATTTCCTCATTATCCCGGGTTTTTATTGCTGCCCGTCTGCTTATTGTTGCACTGTGACGTCTGCTTTGCACGGCTAATCGTGGCCAGTTCTAGCGGAGGAGAAGAAGAGGGAAACTCACCTCCAGGACATTAACAAGTTTCCCCGCACTGGGCTTAAACGCACTATCTCTCAGGAGAAGAATGTCCTGCCCGATGTACAAAGTAGGTGTGACTGATTGTGTGATGTGTACACTTCTGTTTGTACAGTATGTGTCTGTACTCATCCTAGTGCCCACCCAAATACCCATGTAAGTACCCATCCAAATTCCCACCTGGATTGCCACCACATGCCCACCTGAATATCCACCCCGATTCACCCCAGCCCCTCCTGAATCCTGGAGCTCGATAGCACCCACATCTACCCTTACACCCACCCGTACCTCCACCCCCTGCCCATTCCCTCCCACACTCCACACCCTGGACAAGGACGACTTGATGGCCATGGTCTAAACAAGAACATGAAAAAAGGACCGAAAGACATTAAAGATGGTAGTTTGACATTCAGCATTATGCATTTAGGGAATAAAACAGTGACTGGTCGGCTCAGCTAGCATATAAATGATTATATGGAAGTGGACCAAACAAATTAGTAGGGTCATCAAAAAACAGATTTAAGAAATACATTTTTACACTGTAATGTTCGTTGCGTATTTGATACGCTTGGATTTTATTTTACGGCGTATTTCTGCATTTCTGATGCGTATTTTACGCAGATACGCAGCTTATCTGGAGCTCTGTTTACACTTTAGTCATTAACCTGGAATCTGGAGTCTCACTGTGGAAATGAAAGTTGAGTCCAGTTCAGTGAGATTTTAGTTACAGGATATTGCACAAGAATCAAGCCTTCCATCTTGGGTGAGATGATTTTCAGTTGGCCAGAGGTCTACAAAGAGGCTTGTTCAGTGTCTGTACACAAGATAGTGGGATGTTATTTGTGCAGACCAAATAATAAATCGCAGCTTATTGTCAAGAACAGATTACTGAATGGGTGTTACGTGTGAAAAGTTAATCTGGATTACATCCTTTGTCCTTTTCAGTCTGGTGTGCAGAAGCCTGGATTAGTCAAATATTCGTTGATGATGCCGTATTTACTTTAACAAGCGGTTCTTCTTTGAAGAAGCTTCCAAACCCCTCAGACCCGTGAAGATTCCGGGGTGGAATAGGTCTTCAGCAACCCATGCTTGCCGTAAAAGGCGACTATGCTTGTTGTAAAAGGCGACTAACGGGATCGGGTGGTCAGGCTCGCTGACTTGGTTGATGCATGTCATTGATCCTAATTGCGTGGATCGATGCTCATGATATTAATCACTGGATTGTCTGGACCAGACTCGATTATTTACAGACTGCCGTTATATAGCTGGAATATTGCTGAGTGAGGCGTAAAACAACAAACAAACAACCAACCAAATCCAAACCCCTCACGTAATGGAGGTCCGGGAGTAATTAGAGACCCAGCGTTTTATAATTCAACTACAGTGTTACGTAAGCTTTTGACATACAATAGAACATAATGTTCTTGATGTAGGATTTATTTAAACATCAAGATTGAACTTGAACATATTAAGATGAAATAGCAACAAAAACACTTCCCTTTCTAAGCATTTTTTTCCAGGGTCATTTAAATCTAATATACCTGGTGCCCATTAGAGTCCCAGTGCTTATTTAAGGAAATATGGTATATTAAATTTGGTCCTGAAAGTTTGGCCTGGTTTTGACACATTCTAAATGATGATAATTAATTCTAGCCATGGTCCCTATATAACTTGAAGCAGCGACATTGTTGTATCAGCAACCCTGTGAGCTGGACGGACTTGTCAATTTCCATGAATGTAGAATCTATAGTGCATGACTTATTTGCTGTGTGTTTTAGGCCTACTAAATAGAGTTGCTGTGTGTTTGTATTAGATGTGGGGCATGTCATTACCTTCATGGAACTGAGCAACTTGGAGAGACCTCTAATATTTAGATGAATGTTTTTAAATATTGTTGCACAAGCATTGAAATGTTTTCTTGTGTCCAGTGCATTCAAATTCACCCTGGACAAATCTATGTCCTTACACCTGTATATATGTCTGTGTTCATAGATATTTTTCTTTATTTCAGCATATACTACTCAAAATTAAATTAAAGAACACCCAATTCTTTCATATTACAATAGTTAATTGACTATTGAGTATAGTAATATGGAAAAATCAGGTATTCTTTGACTTTTTTCTGGTATTATATATTTTTCGGGAATCATTTTTCTCTAAAGAATCAGTAAAGAATTGTTTACACAAATAGAAATTGAAACCTCGCCATAAAAAGTATGGAGCTTGGTCAGGTACTTGGTCATTGAAAAGGTCAGGGACATGGGTGGCCGAGTCTTCTAAGGCGCCGCGATTCGCTGTGCAGAGTTGCGTCCCTTGGGCATGCCTGAAACCTATGATTGTGGGTTCGAATCCCGTTCGCCCCAATTATGTTTCTAGGTTTGTCAGCACCATACCCGTGCTCATGGGTTTCACAGAAGTGGTAAACGTCTGAGACCTGCATCACTTCGGACTTTCCTCCCACATTAAGCTGACACGCCGTGATATAACTGGAATACTGTTAAAAGCGGCGTTAAACCCAACTCACTCACTCACTCATTGAAAGGTCATTGATTATGCTTCTAGGTTTGTCAGCACCATACCCATGCTCGTGGGTTTCACCAAAGTTGGTGTATGCTGTAGACCTGCAACTCTTGTGTTTTCCTCTCACATTAAGCTGACACGCTGTGAGATAACTGGAATACTGTTCGAAGCAGCCTGAATCTCAACTCACTCACTCACTCATAAGCATCAAACAGGCATTTTGACAATAATATATTTTGTTTTATTCTTACCCAATTCTGGCTAGTCGCCTAAGCAGTAGTTAATTGCTATTAATTCATGGAAGTGTTTGATTGCTTACTAATAGCATACAAACTTGGACAGTGTGCAAGGTACGGTTTTGTCATAATATTTTCTATAGTATCCCGATGTAGATGGTAGATGGTAGATTTTCAGTCATCATGAACTGATAGAAATCCTTATTTGGGTAAAGTTTTCATAGTACAGTGTGTACAGATATATGTACTTTCTTATGTATATATACTGAACAAATGTTTTTAGGGATCATGAATATTTGTAGGATTATTTTTTTAAATTGTGTGCTTTCATCACTACAAAAAATATCCCTAAAAATATTCCCTGACTTCTTTTGTTCAGTATACATAGTTTGCAATCGGCCACAAAGAGTTGTATAATTTTGCTTTTTAAATTCCATACGTTATTCAATTATATATGTAACACTATTCTGTTTTGCGTCTTGTGTTGTATTTGATGCACATAGCTTTGTGCTTGATCTAAAACACATGAGAGTGCCTTTGTATTTAGTGCTATGTAGATATACATTAGTTTGCCTTATTTTATTACCTTGTAGTTGTATAAATTTATTCAGTTTTGTCGTTCTAGATGCTTTCGTTCTGCTGATTTATTATATTTAAGCAAGTTACTGTTTGATATTGATTAGGGAAAAAATACTGAATTATATGTCTTAGAATAGCTTAAAGATGTTATGTATATATTTATTTTTAAATTCTTTTGACACCATGTCAAATTATGAAATGACTGCCATCCTAATACTAAGTTATTAATGAAGTAAGATAATCATTTGTTTATGTGCTAAAGGAATGTCTACTTGTATGTGATGGGGAAAATTGCTATGAAAATGCATCAATACTGATGGAAATAAACACAGGAATGGTAGACAGCGAAGCTTATATTTGAAAGGCATGAAATGTCATAGCTATTGCGGGGGGCACGGGTGGCCCAGTCGTCTAAGGCACCGCGATTCGCTGTGCAGAGTTGCGTCCCTTGGGCACACCAGAAACCTATGATTGTGGGTTCGAATCCTGGTTCACCCCGATTATGTTTCTAGGTTTGTCAGCACCATACCGTGGGTTTCACTGAAGTGGTAAATGTCTAATCACTTCGGACTTTCCTCCCACATGAAGCTGACACGCCGTGATATAATTGGAATACTGTCAAAAGCGGCGTTAAACCAAACTCACTTACTCACTTACTCAAAGCGGTGTTAAACCGAAGTCACACACTCTTACTTTCTCATAATAATTTTGATGGGAAAATAGGTTCCCAGTATCTTATGTTTGTGTAAGAGCCGTCACTCGATCCCTTACTTGTATGTCGGACAACTGTATGACCACGGCAATAACAGGAAGATGCCCTACACTACTTTCATTGAATACACTCTGAACTTCACTAACTAGTCTGTAATATATCTATGTGTTCTGTTATTGTTTTGTAAGTATTTGTGGTAAAGAAAAGTCAATAATAGGCTGATCGGTTGTTTTTGTCTGCAGCCCTGGCCCAGGAAAAGACCATGCATAACATCAGCCAGTTCGACAAGTCCGGACTGAAGAAGGCAGAGACTGTGGAGAAGAAAGTTCTTCCTAACAGTGAGGGTAAGAAGAAGCACAATAACCACACAATTACTTATTCACCATATGAAGGGCCCTGCTCTAGTAACCACCCTCTGACCAACTTCAAGAGAAATCTGTAATTAATCTTTTTAACCTTGCTGAATTATTTTCACACTTCTTAGCCCTGCCTGCTGGATTAATTTAAGCATAAGGCGCTCTAAAGAGGGTGGGTGATTTCAAACAGTCGGTGCCTCATTAAACAAGGGCCAATTGAAGAAATATTTTGCACATTTATTCATGATAGAAAACTACACAGTACTATATAAAAATATCCCGATGTTTTCAATCATACCAAGGTTAAGACCAAAGTGAACACAACATTTTAAAATTTTCTTGAACCTACCTGAATTGCGTTATTGAACCTTCCTAACACCAACATTTTTCATGACAATCCTCCATGGGGATTCCGAGTTAGAATATGTACCCAGCAACCTATGCTGGTGGTATGCGTTGACCAAATAGATCAGTAGGTCAAAGGTCGGTGTCTTGGTTGATTGCGTGTCATCATACCCCAATTTCGTGGATCGCTGCACCCAATATCAATCACCCGATCGTCTGGTTCAGATTTGATTACCGGTAGTTACAGACTACCGTCATGTAGCTGGAATATTGCTGAGTTTGGTGTTAAACAACAACAAACAAACATGACAGTCCATATTTTCTTGTGTATATTTAATTTATTTTCCAGAAAACAGCAACGCAGAAGCAGTATATTATTGTTCAGGAACTATATTCGAAAATGTTTTACTTTCATTGACATTTGAACTTTGTTTGGGGGCACGGGTGGCCCAGTCGTCTAAGCCGCCACAGTCGCTGTGCAGAGTTGCGTCCCTTGGTACGCCAGAAACCTATGATTGTGGGTTCGAATCCCGGTTCGCCCAGATTATGTTTCTAGTTTTGTCAGCACCATACCCGTGCTCGTGGGTTTCACCGAAGTGGTAAACGTCTGAGACCTGCATCACTTCGGGCTTTCCTCCCACATTAAGCTGACATGCTGCGATATAACTGGAATAATGTTAAAAGTGGCGTTAAACCCAACTCACTCACTTAACTTTGTTTGTTCATTACTGCAGAATCCCTGAAAACAAATTGTACTTGGTTTTAATAGTTTTCTAAGAGTCCAGGACGATTATTATGATAAACACGATACTGATAAAAGCACCATACAACTCACTTTCTCCTTCATTCGCAAATGTCTGCTTGAATATGAGGTTGAATATGTATGAAGCAAATTAACTTGTTTGCAAATTATAACTATCTATAGAAATAGCTGCTGTATTGTTAAAGTTTCGAGGTTAGTCATCCCCATACCTGTGCTCGTATTACACCAAACTTGTAAATGTCAATACCACTATATGGCTGAAATATTGCCGATGTGACGTTAAATCTTAACTCACTCACTCACTCACTCACTCACTCACTCACTCACTCACTCACTCACTCACTCACTCACTCACTGTAAATGTCGAAGACCTGCATCACTTCGGGCTTTTCTCCCACATCAAGCTTACATGCCGTGATATAACTGGGATAATGTTAAAAGCGGCATTAAACCCCACTCACTCACTCACTCACTCACTCACTCACTCACTCACTCACTCACTCACTCACTCACTCACTCACTCACTCACTCACTCACTCACTCACTCACTCACTCACTCACTCACTCACTCACTCACTCACTCACTCACTCACTCACTCACTCACTCACTCACTCACTCACTCACTCACTCACTCACTCACTCACTCACTCACTCACTCACTCACTCACTCACTCACTCACTCACTCACTCACTCACTCACTCACTCACTCACTCACTCACTCACTCACTCACTCACTCACTCACTCACTCACTCACTCACTCACTCACTCACTCACTCACTCACTCACTCACTCACTCACTCACTCACTCACTCACTCACTCACTCACTCACTCACTCACTCACTCACTCACTCACTTCATTGTATTGTTTTAGACATTGGCCAGGAAAAGAAGGAGACTGAACTGAGGAAATCCATTGGAGAATTCAGCAAGGACAACCTGAAGCACGCAACTACGAACGAGAAAAATACCCTTCCACCAAAAGATGGTAGGTATTCAGAATAATACAAATTATGTGGATTGTTGCTCAGTCCATCATCCTCTAGTTGGGTCATCACATATTTGATAGGCTGCCTTGGAATGCCTTAGATATTGCTTTCTGAGATGTATAACAAAGTCAAGTGGTCTAAGATGATGCAATTTGCTGTGCAGAGTTACCTCCCTTGGCTGCCAGGGTATGCTGGCCTGCAGGTTGAATTAAAAAATAATTAAATACTCTATTTTAGAGAGCAGTTGAAAGTGTCTTTATTTCCGTAAATTTTGCAACATTCTCTCCCTTCTTCTCCTTCTGTTATATATGTTCCTAACTTAAACTGTACAAACTGGAATATTTGTTAACCTCCAGCTGTCTGTGGTCTAAAGCGTATGCAAGGAGAGCGGAAGGACAGTGGTTTGATTCCCAGCCGCGTAATACCAAAAGACATAAAAGATAGTACTTCTTTTTACCTGCCAGGTGCGGGGCGTTAAGGGTATTAAATAAGGACTGGTCAGCTCACAGTCAGTACACTGTGTCTGACTGGGTATCCATGTTAAACCATGTCATGGTAGCTCAGTGGGCTCGCACTATAACGACAGACTAGTACAAGCAGACACACACACACACATGGCAGCCACGTTGCTATATAAGTGCAATAGTCTTGAACGCAGCATTAAAGCCCATTTCATTTCACCTCAGGGGGCATGGGTGGCCCAGTCGTCTAAGGCGCCGCGATTCGCTGTGCAGAGTTGCTTCCCTTGGGCATGCCAGACACCTATGATTGTGGCATCGAATCCTGGTTTGCCCCAATTATGTTTCTAGGTTTGTCAATACCATACCCGTGCTCGTGGGTTTCACAGAAGTGATAAACGTCTGAGACCCGTATCACTTTGGGGATTCCTCTCACATTAAGCTGACACACCGCGATTTAACTGGATTACTGTTAAAAGAGGCATTGAAACCCACATCACTCACTCACTCATTTCTTCTCATACACCTTGAGTATTCCTGACTGCCATGAAACAAGGGGTTGTTGCTCATGCAGTCGACCCTGGGGTTGCCTGCTTCCTTTGGATAATGTACATGTTAAGTTGTATTGCTTCTCTATGTAGTAAAACCCATGTGTACAATCAGTTTATTTTGTGTCCTTCAGCCATTGATGAGGAGAAGAAACAAAAGGAGTTTGAAAATTCGATCCAGCGTTTCCCGAAGGGCAGCCTTAAGAAGACAGACTGCAAAGAGAAAACTTGTTTGCCTTCCAAAGAAGGTAACGAGACAACTAGATCACTCTTAGAGACAATCAGATCAGCTCGGGCCATAGATGTACCAACCTGTGAAGATTCGGGGTAGAATAGGTCTTTAGCAACCCATGCTTGCCGTAAAAGGCGACTATGCTTGTCGTAAAAAGAGACTATGCTTGTTGTAAGAGAAGACTAACGGGATCAAGTGGTCAGGCTCGCTGACTTGGTTGATGCATGTTATCGTATCCCAATTACTCGGATCGATGCTCATGATGTCAATCACTGGATTTTCTGGTCCAGACTCGATTATTTACAGACCACCGTCATATAGCTGGAATATTGCTGAGTGCGGTGTTAAACAACAAACACCAAACAACATCAACATAGGCGTACCAGTTGTCTAAGGAGCTTCCATTGACTGCATCCCTTGGGCACGCCAGAAACCTATGATTGTGGGTTCGAATCCTGGTTTCGCCCAGATTATGTTTCAAGGTTTGTCAGAACCATACCTGTGCTTGTGTGTTTCGCCACTTTGGGCTTTCCTACTACATTAAGCTGACACACCGTGATATAACAGGAATAATGTTCAATGCAGTATTAAACCCAGTTCACTCACTCACTCTTGATGGTGAAAGGCCTATTACAAATTAGCAAGTGTGCAAAATTAGTGTGTGACATGAGGTAGAGTCTCCGGTAACTTCAGTCAGTCTATGATATAATAATAAATGTGTAAGACCAATTGTATATGACAGCTTTTCTGATTAGTCTGACAATGTTCATAAATGGTCATACAAGCTTTACAATAGACCAATAGTTCATGGAACCTCTTCAAGGGATTACTCTCCATTTCTGTGTTCTGATGTTTCAGCCTTGATTTAGATGTATAATTAGTGCAGTGTCTGATGTTTCAACCTTGGTTTAGATGAAGTGATCAGTTCAGTGTCTAATGTTTCAGCCCAGGTTTAGATGAAATAATCAGTGCAGTTTCTGATGTTTCAGCCAAGGTTTAGATGAAGTCATTAGTGCAGTGTCTGATGTTTCAACCTTGGTTTAGATGCATAATTAGTGCAGTGTCTGATTTTTCAACCTTGGTTTAGATGAACTGATCAGTGCAGTGACTGATGTTTCAGCCCAGGTTTAGATGAAATAATCAGTGCAGTTTCTGATGTTTCAGCCAAGGTTTAGATGAAGTCATTAGTGCAGTGTCTGATGTTTCAGCCTTGGTTTAGATGTATAATTAGTGCAGTGTCTGATTTTTCAACCTTGGTTTAGATGAAGTGATCAGTGCAGTGACTGATGTTTAAAGCCCAGGTTTAGATGAAATAATCAGTGCAGTTTCTGATGTTTCAGCCAAGGTTTAGATGAAGTCATTAGTGCAGTGTCTGATGTTTCAGCCAAGGTTTAGATGAAGTCATTAGTGCAGTGTCTGATGTTTCAGCCTTGGTTTTGATGTATAATTAGTGCAGTGTCTGATGTTTCAACCTTGGTTTAGTTGAAGTGATCAGTGCAGTGTCTGATGTTTCAACCTTGGTTTAGATGTATAATTAGTGCAGTGTCTGATTTTTCAACCTTGGTTTAGATGAAGTGATCAGTGCAGTGTCTGATGTTTCAACCTTGGTTTAGATGAAGTGATCAGTGCAGTGACTGATGTTTAAAGCCCAGGTTTAGATGAAATAATCAGTGCAGTTTCTGATGTTTCAGCCAAGGTTTAGATGAAGTCATTAGTGCAGTGTCTGATGTTTCAACCTTGGTTTAGATGTATAATTAGTGCAGTGTCTGATTTTTCAACCTTGGTTTAGATGAAGTGATCAGTGCAGTGTCTGATGTTTCAACCTTGGTTTAGATGAAGTGATCAGTGCAGTGACTGATGTTTAAAGCCCAGGTTTAGATGAAATAATCAGTGCAGTTTCTGATGTTTCAGCCAAGGTTTAGATGAAGTCATTAGTGCAGTGTCTGATGTTTCAGCCAAGGTTTAGATGAAGTCATTAGTGCAGTGTCTGATGTTTCAGCCTTGGTTTTGATGTATAATTAGTGCAGTGTCTGATGTTTCAACCTTGGTTTAGTTGAAGTGATCAGTGCAGTGTCTGATGTTTCAACCTTGGTTTAGATGTATAATTAGTGCAGTGTCTGATTTTTCAACCTTGGTTTAGATGAAGTGATCAGTGCAGTGTCTGATGTTTCAACCTTGGTTTAGATGAAGTGATCAGTGCAGTTTCTGATGTTTCAGCCAAGGTTTAGATGAAGTCATTAGTGCAGTGTCTGATGTTTCAGCCTTGGTTTAGATGTATAATTAGTGCAGTGTCTGATTTTTCAACCTTGGTTTAGATGAAGTGATCAGTGCAGTGTCTGATGTTTCAACCTTGGTTTAGATGAAGTGATCAGTGCAGTGACTGATGTTTAAAGCCCAGGTTTAGATGAAATAATCAGTGCAGTTTCTGATGTTTCAGCCAAGGTTTAGATGAAGTCATTAGTGCAGTGTCTGATGTTTCAACCTTGGTTTAGTTGAAGTGATCAGTGCAGTGTCTGATGTTTCAACCTTGGTTTAGATGAAGTCATTAGTTCAGGGCCTGATGTTTCAGCCCAGGTTTAGATGAAGTCATTTGTTCAGGGTCTGGTGTTTTAGCTGAGGTTCAGGTGAAGTCTTTAGTGCAGTGTCTGATGTTTCAGCCCAGGTTTAGATGGAGAAATAAGTGTTAAAGATGCTAATGTTAGAGGTATTTACAAAGCATTTTTCTAATATAATAAGAGCAGGTCTTTGTCCCAGCTGGTCACTGGAGGAGATAAAATCACTGCAAGCATATTGTAAAAAGTTCATCTTGGGTCACATATTTAGATTTCCAAAAGTTCAATGTGTAAGAAATGAAAAAAGACATTTGAGAGGTCTGATAATTTTCATACCAATATTTCAAAGTTTTCCGCAACTTTGACATTCCAGTGGGCCAATTAGAACCCATATCCTACCCTGACCTTTTTCTGCGCCAGCCAAAGTGCCAAACCTAGTCCTCCTTTAAATGTCACACACTTATGCAATGAATTTGAGAGTGACTGCTTGTGTGTTTCAGATATTGAAGCCGAGAAGTCTGGTGCAGCATAGACAAGGGCTATGACTTGTTGCTACAGGTTACCGACTGCATGTTACTACTTGTATCTAGCATTGTACATAGACATGTGATAAAACGTTATATACAACATGTATATGATGCATACCATCTGGAATTTACAGCTGACTTAAATTCCCTGCATATTCAAAAGTGAATTTCCAACATAAAATTCAAGTATTGATTTTCTGATTTTGCATCCTGAAATTGAAGTTGCCAAATTTTTCAACATTGCATTTTATGATGAGAATTGTTTCAATACAGATTTATCAAGGCCATCTGAACGGCAAATATTGAACAAAAGCCAGTAAAAAAATCCAAATTAGTACTAATGTTATGGCTTTGTAAAATTTTAGAAAATATGAACATTACAAATTCCAATTTTGAACAAAATAATGATTGCTAAGGGCACTCTGTTTTGAATTTTTGATATGTCCCTGCAATAATACAGTTCATCCTTATTATACACTTGTTAGAACAAACCATGGCATTATCTTGGGCAGTGACTATCGTAGAGGTGTTATACGTCATACTGCAACCTGGGTGTACAGTATACACCAACTGTATTCCATGCATTGCATTGTAGTTTATTGTTATAGATGTGTAGACAGTCATTTGTTCAGCACCGACCCCTCTCGCAGATTGTGCTATCACTTGTATCCAGGTTCAGGGCCAACATTCATACTTCTCCATCGATCATGCGACTTGTTACATAGCCAAGATGAGTTATCTCCCTTGATTTTGTCTGTTTCTTCTACTCAAAGTGATTTTACCATGTCTAGATATGACAGATGATCAGAAATGATCAGTGTTTGAATAGTCTTTTCTAATCCTGTACATCTAATGTAAAATTAAACCTGTTTTTATGTTATAGTTGTTGAGGGAATTGATTTGATCTTGTGGTTAATGCGTTTTGCATTAAACCCATTTTGAATTTGTTTACTTTTATTTTTGATTATATGTAAATCATTTAATAAAGTTTAATAATTTCTTGTTGGAAAAATCAGGTTATTAACATCCTAAATTGACAAAAATGGAAAATGTGTACAAAACAGTTGATTCAGCTTGTTATGTGAAGTTGATACCGTAGTCAACATTTTTAGCGCCCTGCATCAAGAGACACGAAGTATTAATTCAGAAGGTGTGGCACAATATACCAAAATATTCTCACATCCCTAATGCATAGAAAGCATATGGTGATATGTCTTTTTCTACCCGTTGGGATCTTTGTGGAAATAATCAGAAATTGTCTGCGTCTAGAGATTTAAATTACAGGAAATTGTATCATGTTGTTGCTTCAGCACACATTTCAGCTATTTGTTACGGTGTCATGGCTCTTCATGTGTTGAAGACTGTATGTTCTCACGAGTTAACTTGAGCCATATGACTTGTACTTTTTGGTCAATCCTCTGATCTTGTTTGTTTCTGAATGTCAGGAGAAGAAATGTGGTGCTTTATACTTTTTCATGTCGGTTTATGTAGTTACTATACCTTCATATGTACTTAGAATGTTTACAGCCTGTGCTTGTTTTATTAACAGTATTAACCTTGCCAAGATACACACAGAAGCTAGTCCAAAATTGTCGATAAGAAAAAATATATACAAAACTTCGAAACATTGCTGTTATTTTGATCAATTTGATCTGTTTGTTTTTAAATATTAATGTTTGAAACTTTTGTTAATTTTTATTTGTGAAGAAATTTGTCTGTATTTGATTTTTGGGTGTCCGGTTTCCTGGGGACACGACGGTATTTGAATATGACAGCAAGGACATGACTTGCTTCTTTTGGTGACCTTCGTGAGTTGTCGCTTAACTTTCATCTGTATATTGATGTATGCCATCTTAGAATAAAATCATATTTTCTGGTTCAACCTTGCTTGTCTATATTTTGCTCACGACTGCCTCAGTGGTCTAGTGGTAGTGCGGAAGGTCCAGGGTTCTATCAGGGCCGCGTCATGCCAAAAGACGTTAAAAAAAGATGGTACTTGTTACCCTGTCTGTTTGACGGGGCTAAAACAAGGACTGGATCGGCTTGGAGTCGGTATGCTGTGTGTGTGTGCACTATAAATTGGCATCAGTCCGGACTAGTACAAGCAGACACGCACATCGCTATATACGTGCAATAATCTTGGACGTGACATTAAACCCAAATTCACCTGACCTACTTTGCTCGCTTGGCTCATTACAATCAAATATTTCACTCTGCTACAGGGGCGGTCCGGTAGCCTAGTGGTTAAAGCATTCGCTTGTCACACTGAAGACCCGGGTTCAATTCAGGCATGGGTACAATGTGTGAAGCCCATTTCTGGTGTTCCCCGACAGAATATTGCTAAAAGCGGCAGTAAAGCTCTCACTCACTCACTCACTCTGCTACAAGAACTCTGCCTGGAGAGTGGAAGGTCGGGGGTTCGATCCCCTGTTGCATCATGACAAGGGGCTAAAACAAGGAGTCAGTATCTCTATCTGAGTGGGATATTCTTGTTACATTGCAGCATCTCAGTGGGCTAGGACTATGAACTATGAAGAATAGATCTCAAGTGCCCCACGCTTGACCTCTGCTGGCAATAGGTCAGAATAGATCTCAAGTACCCCACGCTTGACCTCTGCTGGTATCAGGGCAGAATAGACAAGTACCCCAGTCTCAACTATCTGGTATCAGGGCAGACTAGACAAGTACCCCACGCTTGACCTCTGCTGGTATCAGGGCAGAAAGGATCCCCAGTACCCAGTGCTGGACCACAATGCTCTCCATGAGAGTCCTGACCTAAAACTTGATCCAGCATGTGAAAACGGGGAAGCAAAGACTGCAAGTTTGCGTGTAGAAAACCGTCTTTATTTCAGCACATATTCATAAAATATTCAACAATTGCAATGTACAAATTATTCATAACTGAACACAATCTGGTGAAACTACAGTATTAACTCAGCATTAGCGGTGCAGGGGACACAACTCTTACAATGCTTGCTTCAACACTGAAGGCATCTACAACATCGGCACTGTTCAACAAAATCAAAGGTAAATTCTTAACACAAATCACGATTTAGTGGATTTTACCAACACTACGTGCTTTCTTGACACTTCACATTTCTCAATATCTCGCATACATCTCACGACTGCTGATTTTACCCATAAGATTGTGCAGTAGGCAAGTAACGCGTATTTTAGATTTGATCATCAACATTTTCATTTGAAAGATCTGGATTAGCGTTAAAATATTGTACCTCGTGGTTTTAAATGCGCGAGGGAGTCTGTAATCCTCTTACACACTCTCCGAATTGAGAAGGCTACCTAGTGAATAGTCCGTGGACTTGTAAGACCAAAAGCTCAAGGGCAAGGTCGATGGGAAATTCATCGTTTGGACATTCCAGTTCGCTTCCGAGTCTTAAAACCAGTCAGTAAGTGCGTTGCACAGTATTTCAGTCACTTTACGTCAGCTGGAGAAGGGGCGTGCAGGTCGGAGACGTTTGTAACTGCGGGGATTCCTGGATTGAATTGGTCCCAACAACCTATGCTGGACTTAAAAGTTGAATTAATGGATCGATGGTTTGGTTGCCGACGGCGTGGATTGTTGCTCACAATATCGATCACTGGATTGCCTGGTCGAGATTCGAGTGTTTACAGACAGCCGTCTGGGACTTTATCTGTGACATTGCTGAAAGCGCCGTTAAACAACAAACAAACGTAGAAGTTTACCTCTTTGATAAACGGGTAAGGATCAAGTGGGGCCTGGTCAAGAGCCACAACTCTACATAGCGAGTCGAGCCTTCGACTAATATGAAGTCAATGCAACTTTGACACTGGGTCGAAAGTAGCTGCAAATCGTTGATACATGCATTGCTTATTTTGTACTATTGGACCAGCGGATGTCGAATAGTAAAAGAGAAACAGAACGAGTTTGACAACTAGGCCGAAAACAGAGTGAGTCAGTCAGTTGCGTTTAACGCCGCTTTTAACAGTATACCAGTTATATCACGGCGTGTCAGCTTAATGTGGGAGGAAAGCCCGAAGTGATGCAGGTCTCAGACGTTTACCACTTCGGTGACACCCACGAGTACGGGTATAGTACTGACAAACCTAGAAACATAATCGGGGCGAACCGGGATTCGAACCCACAATCATAGGTTTCTTGCGTGCCCAAGGGACGCAACTCTGCACAGCGAATCGTGGCGCCTTAGACGACTTGGCCACCCGTGCCCCCATCAGCGGGAAAACCATAGTTCTGATGTTAAATTACCTTTATAGTCGTCTACCGCATTTGCCCGGGGACCGGGTCTAACAGTCAATCGAAATTGATAAGGGTCTACGCAGTAATTTGAGGAAATGCGGTAATCTGTTGACCACCAATGCATGGAGGATATCTCTGCTCACAATATGCCAAATTAATTTGTTTGTACCAGATATTGAAATTACAGCCTTAAAATCATGCAAGACTTTGCAACTATCTCTATATGTCCAATGTTACTGATCACAGAAAACATTACAATAATGCCTGGCTATCACATTACTACATTGAATAACATGGACCTGTATATATACATTAGTGGTTATAATTTAGCTCGGTAACTTGGAAATTTGACTTCGTAAATCAGTGATAATATTTACAAGTGTGGGGTATGAGTCATGTGACATTCTAGTTTGATTGAAATGAACACACTCGAAGTCGTTTCTGCATCTAAATGTTGTTGTTTTGTTACTCGGGTGCACTCGGCTTAGTCCGCTAGCTGCATAACATTCAACTCGTGTTATTCCGCGACAAGCCGAATAGGTTACGGAAAGGGGCGAGCGGTGACGAATGGCTGCATAATACCTCGGCCAGTTGACTGGTGCCATGTCCTATTTGCGCTGCTTTTAGTGCTATAGTGTATCATGAAGACGGCAGTTGTATCTAGCATATGCTTTCTGTTAAACACTTCATAATCCTCTTATGCATGTATTCTAGCAGGAAGACAAGGAAGTTATTTAATACGTAATACAATACTGTAAATAGGACATTTTGTGTCAATATAAGTGTTTCATATTGGGCAAATCTACATCGATCGAAATTATCAGAAGAGTGTTATCTTTGATAGAGAACAACCCTCATCCAGTTTACAAAATGGCCGTAACTATATACCCACTTTAGCGAACTGGAAGTAGAGTGTGGGTCGGTGTTTGCGCGCGCGGGTGCGTGCATGTGTGTGTCTGTGTGTTTTTATAGCTCCTGTTGACATAGTTGAAATACATTATTCGTCAATACACTCCTTGAAAATAGTTAAGCACCACTTACTTTATATTTACATATAAAATAGCCATTTAAAAATACATCCGAAATTACATTTTTGACTAAATACTTTTCTTTTGTTTTCCATGAAGTCGGCTTTGTCATGTTGAAATACAGAAAACAAAATCGATTATTTCATGACATGTTTCGCAACTGTTACCATGGCAATAGTTATTTCACTACCCTTCTATGTCTTTGCTTTTGCATCTTTGCATCATGTGATGCATCTTTGCAATTGTGGTCGACCACCTAGTGAAACATCCGGTGCTCTTGTACTGACGTCTCGGCAGGTACCAGTGCTACCCCAGACATTTTACAACACGAGATCAATGCCTAATGTAGATGTATCTACAAGATATATTGAGACTCCGTATATATGGGAAAAAAAGAGAAGGGATAGTCGTTAATTTTTTTCCAGGTGTATAAATCTCTAAATACCGGAGACACGGATAGAGGTACGACGTACATTGTTAAAGAACTATTAAAAAAAACTACACGCATAATGATCGTATTAAATTTACATGGATAGGAAATAATACTGTCACAACACTGATGTTTATCACCCGAGATAATTCTTTTTACGGGACATCTGTTAGCACTCGTGAAGTCTTCACGTTTTCAACCTTTTGGCAAAACACAATTATGATAGCGCACCTCAAACAGTTTGGGATTGTCTTGGTGAATCAGGAATTGTTCATTTATAAATGCATAGATAAATATAAATGTACAACATTGTCACAAAACGCCACAATATAAATGGTGGTAGAGTCAGCTTGCAAACACACACCCTTTAACCATGAGATTTCCGCCATCGTAATCGAAGAGCATCGGCCAGATAAAGTGACTGACAGACGATGCACGTGCTTGGTCACATGACCACCACAGCTTGTGACGCTCCTCGTTATAACGTTTGTCCGTCACCGACATTCTCATGGCGGGTTGTTGTATTGCCATCTGCCAGGTCAGTCTCGCGCTCTCGTGCAGGTAGCGGTTCACGGCTTTATTGCTGATAAGGCCTTTCACGTCCTTGAACTCTCTCTCCAAGGTATTTTTGGTGATCTGGAACACAAGAATGTATTGTTAACCGTAGTTACTCTAAAACACGTGTGACCAATTACATGACAATCATGAGGTGTGGGGACCTATTCTGGCCCATCCTGTACCCTGATCACGACAATCATGAGGTGTTGGGACCTATTCTGGCCCATCCTGTACCTTGATCACGACAACCATGAGGTGTGGGGACCTATTCTGGCCCATCCTGTACCTTGATCACGACAACCATGAGGTGTGGGGACCTATTCTGGCCAATCCCGTACCCTGTTCATGACAATCATGAGGTGTTGGGACCTATTCTGGCCCACCCTGTACCCTGATCATGACAATCATGAGGTGTGGGGACCTATTCTGGCCAATCCTGTACCCTGATCATGACAATAATGAGGTGTGGGGACCTATTCTGGCCCACCCTGTACCCTGATCACGACAACCATGAGGTGTGGGGACCTATTCTGGCCCACCCTGTACCCTGATCACGACATCCATGCGGTGTGGGAACATATTTGACCTATTCTGGCCCATCCTGTACCCTGATCACGACAACCATTAGGTGTGGGGACCTATTCTGGTCCATCCTGTACCTTGATCACGACAATCATGAGGTGTGGGGACCTATTCTGGCCCACCCTGTACCCTGATCACGACAATCATGAGGTGTGGGGACCTATTCTGGCCAATCCTGTACCCTGATCACGACATCCATGCGGTGTGGGAACATATTTGTTCATTCTGGCCCATCCTGTACCCTGATCACGACAACCATTAGGTGTGGGAACCTATTCTGGCCCACCCTGTACCCTGATCACGACAACCATGAGGTGTGGGGACCTATTCTGGCCAATCCTGTACCCTGATCACGACATCCATGCGGTGTGGGAACATATTTGTTCATTCTGGCCCATTCTGTACCCTGATCACGACAACCATTAGGTGTGGGAACCTATTCTGGCCCACCCTGTACCCTGATCACGACAACCATGAGGTGTGGGGACCTATTCTGGCCCATCCTGTACCTTGATCACGACAACCATGAGGTGTGGGGACCTATTCTGGCCCATCCTGTACCTTGATCACGACAACCATGAGGTGTGGGGACCTATTCTGGCCCATCCTGTACGCTGATCACGACAACCATGAGGTGTGGGGACCTATTCTGGCCCATCCTGTACCTTGATCACGACAACCATGAGGTGTGGGGACCTATTCTGGCCCATCCTGTACCTTGATCACGACAACCATGAGGTGTGGGGACCTATTCTGGCCCATCCTGTACGCTGATCACGACAACCATGAGGTGTGGGGACCTATTCTGGCCCATCCTGTACCTTGATCACGACAACCATGAGGTGTGGGGACCTATTCTGGCCCATCCTGTACCCTGATCACGACAATCATGAGGTGTGGGAACCTATTCTGGCCCATCCTGTACCCTGATCACGACAATCATGAGGTGTGGGGACCTATTCTGGCCCATCCTGTACCCTGATCACGACAATCATGAGGTGTGGGGACATATTTGACCTATTCTGGCCCATCCTGTACCCTGATCACGACAATCATGAGGTGTGGGAACCTATTCTGGCCCATCCTGTACCCTGATCACGACAATCATGAGGTGTGGGAACCTATTCTGGCCCATCCTGTACCCTGATCACGACAATCATGAGGTGTGGGGACCTATTCTGGCCCATCCTGTACCCTGATCACGACAACCATGAGGTGTGGGGACCTATTCTGGCCCATCCTGTACCTTGATCAGCTCCCCTGAGTCAATGTTGTCGCAGTTATGTCGCAGCCGGCTTCGGATGGCGTCGGTCATCTCGTCCGGAAGCTGTTCTGGTTCCGCGCTCAAGCCGCTCTGAACTATACTTATCTGTGATGATGGAGAGAGTGAGATACGTGGTAAACATATGCAAGGCCGACAAGGCAACACCACAGCAGACAGACATACTATGTATTATGCATTTAACATGGCCTTATGGGATTCGAGGAAATGTTATATAGATATCCACAGATTGATTATATCACAGGGGTGGCAGACATGTGCTCTCCTGGTGTAAAAATATATAGTGTAGTGCATTTTATACATTAAACATTCAACATGAAGACATGGTGATAGCGAATTAAAAAAAAGAAGATTTATTTAGAAAAGGTTCAAACGAGGAACCGAACTGAGATGGTCAACCCATGTGAAACGCACCATTTTTCATTTGATGCCCCTTAGCTAGTAACGAAATGATATACACACTACTGTTAAGCGTGAAAGATACTTGTGGTATTAATATTGACTTGAACCTAGTTGGCGTCATGTCAACCAACACATCTTTATAAAATGTATTAATTACAAATAAGCATACATGCAAACCTATGGGAGAGGGCGATCTAAGTTGTCGCAACGTGTGACTAATCCTTATCACGTGAGTTCAATAAACTACCCGGCAAAAGAAAGTATACACCCATGTCTGATGCTCCCTAAAAAATGAAACACACTATTAACATGGTTATTTGAAACGGTATCATAGTTGTGTTTTGGACCTTAAGTTTGCAGTCTTTCGGAGACTGTTTTCTGTCTAGTAACGTTTTGATAACGTGTGTAATTGTTTTTGTCAAATCCAGTTTTCAAGTGTATACTTTCTTTTGCCCGCCAGTATACGTTTAAACTAAAAACTAAGCCCCAGGCGGCCATGACACACTCACCGCCAATGCCGGTCTCCTCAACAGTTCTCCAATGGCGAGCTCCAGACACTGGTACGTGTCGCAGGAAGCCTCGTATGTTTTCTGCAACAGACGACATTGCGTTAGACCAGTATACTCTATAATTAATCATTATATTAGCATAATATTATCACTACCTCCATATAACTATACCTGATGTTATTTGTGATGTGGTTCTGTCTCAGTTTTTATTGAATGTCTTCAACAACAATAAGTGCCAACATTCAGTTTGTCATTAAAAAATAAAAGTACTTAAAGGAGGATACAACTGTCAATAATTAAATTTTCGTTGTGTTCATGGAAATTCCTGCATTCTGATTAGCTGAATTGGTCACGTGTTATTGCATTCATTTCCCAATGAACGTAAAAAATTAAGCCACGCCCACCGCGGCGCACTACTTTTATTACTTCGGAATGTCGGGGAATCCCAATATTACAGTCGAGGGAATTCCCTTTCTGCTCACGTGTATCGTCATGCACAGGACATTTAGCGACTTTCATGCATATTCATTGTCCAAACTACCCTTTGAAACCGATGGCCGAGAATGAATGAAACAGCAAACGTGCAGGCTCGCTCGCCTGTTTTATTCCCGCTCGCCCCGGTTCAACTTTCATGTCTTCGGGTTTCATTTATAACTAGCATTTCTCCAACTGTGATTTACCGTAATCAGGGAAGTAATGTTTGAATCACGCAGTAAATGACCATGCTATTTGAAACTGCCGCCTTCTCTCGGACATATTTCTTCCGGTTGGTTACAGTCTGACTGTTGCAGTTCTTTTCGCCTCTTGCCTTAATTGACAGGTCAAATGAACATTGTTTTAATCCCACTCTCCGTTGATTGGCTACTGACTGTGTAGGCGTGTCAAGCTATGTGCATAAATTAAACGATCACCTGATTCATGTCAGGCCACTGTATGTATTCCTACACCTGGAATGTTTATCAATGTCGTCATTTTTGTCTGTTTTGCTATATGCAACTGTTTTGGGTTAAACTATTGTAGATAAAACATGTTTTACGTTGTCGAATTTAATTATAAGCATTGACTGTATATTTTTTTCGGTTCATTGAGGTATGAATCGAAAAGCCGATGTGCAAACTTTTGTAAGAATCCGCTACGCGGATTCATACAGTTTGCATATCGGCTTTTCGATTCATACCTCAATGAACCGAAAAAAATACACAGTCAATCCTTAATTGGTTCGAATCCATGTTTCGCCTGATTCCCACTTTTGGTTGTAACCATAATCATGCACGTGCTCGTGTTTCACAAAAGTAGTAAAGGTCTATCCTAAGGCCTGCATCACTTCGGGCTTTCCTCCCACATTAAGCTGACACGCCGTGATATAACTGGAATACTCCGCGCTAAACGTAATTCCCCCACTCACTGGTTTATAGTCTTCATTATACTAGTACATGGTAAATAACACAACAAACCATTATCGAAGAACATAGAAAACGAGTTATCTCCTCTTCGTCCATGCCGGTGCTGTCCTCGAGTGACTCCTTAGCATCCATCCACTCCTGACTCTCTAGGGTGTTGTATCTCATGGCGATCACACTGGGTCGACACCGCTCGTTGATGTTCTCAGTAAGGCGGTTATCTGCCCTTACCATAGGCTTCACGCTGCTCGTCAACCTGAGAAAATGGTTATCAAAAAAGGTAAATGCTGGTTTACCACGATACAGGTTTAAAGCAATACAACCTCGCATCCTGGCATAATGCAAATGAATGTTTCTTTCTTCTTATCAAGAAGATGTCATTTAACAGAAAACCTATTATTACGACAACAGTTGGCATCGAGAAACAATATTTTTGTTGTTATATACGAGTCGTAACGGTCTTACCCTATGAACCTAGTCATGCTTGCAGCAAATAGGAATATATGTTGGTTATTGTAAGGCTAGGTAATACAAACACGGGATATACCCATCTTATAAATAGTGAGTAAGTGAGTAAGTATGGTTTTACGCCGCTTTTAGCAATATTCCAGCAATATCACGGCGGAGGACACCAGAAATGGGCTTCACACATTGTACCCATGTCGGGAAACGAACCCGGGTCTTCGACGTGACGAGCGAACGCTTTAACCACTAGGCTACCCGACCGCCCCATCTTATAAATAGACCATTATGGTATACAATGGCGACAGGTGCATCCATACAATACCGGGCAAGGACAATGCTGGTCCTGCACCTGTCTATGGAATATACGTATTTTATGAAACTGAGATTATATAAAACCACGTCTAGCCACCTCCAGGGATGCGTCCAGCATCAGGGAAAACAAATTGTATTGTGTACCAAAATATTTCCTAGACTATTTGTTAGTTCTTAATGGAGCATGCAATGGTCATTGGTTCGAATCCTGATTCCCACTTTTGGTTGTAACCATAATCATGCACGTGCCCGTGACTGTGCCTTACTTCTGTTTGAGAGAGTCGTTCTCCGTCTTGGCAGATGTAAAATTGGCCTCCAGACTGCGGTAATCATGGCGGGCCTTCTCCATAGTCTTCTGTGCTGCCTCCAGGCCAATCTTAGCCCGCTTGTACTCGTCCTGAAACAGGTGGAATGATCCGGAACCTCAACTCGTTCTCTAAGATGCTTCGTTAAAAGGTCAAAGGTGCCGAAAGTAAACGTACTCTTTTTGAGCTATGTCATTATTTTATCGGTTGACGTCATGACGCTGTTCCAATTACCTCCACCGGGAACTTTAACTCATAATGCATTCACATTCAACACAACACAAGCCTTAACCACTACTTCTGGTGATAAAAACACTGACTAAACAGGGTTGGTTGGTTGGTTTGTTGTTTAATATTCCAGCTATATGACGGCGGTCTGTAAATAATCGATTATTGACCAGACAATCCAGTGATTAATATCATGAGCATCAATCCACGCAATTGGGATCGATGACATATTCGCCTTTCACGGCAAGCATGGGTTGCCGAAGACCTATTCTACCCCGGATCTTGGTGCAACGTGGGCCTCTGTTGTGTTAGTGGCACTACCGTTGTCATGATGAAGTATTGGGCTGAGGCACGTGTATCTGTTACATTCTTCACGTCGTTTTGTGTTGGTGGTACTGGCGTTGGCACACTTGCACCCCCGGTGCCACTTACAGGTTGTGTTGTGTGGGTTGGACGTGCCTTCCCAGGGTAACCTATTGTCACTGTCACTTTACGTCCGTGCATGCAGGTTTCATCAGTTTGCCGATAAACCACAAGCGTCAATGGTTCAACCTCGGTGAATATATGAGTTGACACCACTATATTAATAACAAATGTTGGTTCCTTGAGTGTTGGTGACTGGGGCCGCCGATGCGTAGAGTAACCTTCTACCTGTATTTACAGGTCGAAATTATCACTGGGCCACTGGTGTCACCTTGAGACCTTTGCTGGGTTGACTGAACAAGTTTAACGTCACAGGTTAAGCGTTAACTATGTTTAGTCCAGGCTCGCTGACTTGGTTGATGCATGTCATCGTGTCTCAATTGCGTGGATCGATGCTCATGATGTAAATCACTGGATTTTCTGGTCCAGACTCGATTATTTACAGACCGCCGTCATATAGCTGGAACATTGATGAGTGTGTCAAACAACAAACAAACAAAACAACTTGTTACGCCAACGGTATCTATACCAGAGTCCTGAGACAATGCAGCACGCACCTGCACTGTGGCGGTGATGTTCTGGAGTTCCTTGACCGTCTTCTGCAGACTCTCTACCTGAGTCCTCAGAGCCTCGTTCTCAGTCTTGGTCTTCTGAAGATCAGCAATGATGACGTCACCAGGACCGTGACCTGGGATCGTATAGACATTTAGTTATCAGTGAATACGAGGGTGAAATTCTGTATACACGTCGAAGTACACTATCAGCCTCTTATAGATGGGATTTTAATGTAAGACTGAAATATAATCAACTAGTGATACATTATTTTGTTACATTTACACAACATTCCAGCACTTACTCATATTTTTGGTGGGCGTGGACCTGTCGTCATGGCGCCCGAGCTGTCTCCGGAGATCTTCATTCTCTCTCTTCATCTCGTCCAGCTTGACCCACAGCTGGCCCATGCCTCCCCCGCGCGTCTGGCGGGGGGTGCCGGTGTTGGACGACAGACGCTGGTTCTCCGCCAAGAGACCCTCCACGAGATTCTGAGCCTTCTCCAGGAGGTGTCTCGTCTGCTGGTCCCTCTTCTTCATGAGGAAGACGTTGGAGAGACTCGCGGAGAAGCTCCGAGCCTCCGCTATCAGGTCTTTCTTGGCATCGCCAGACATGTTAGCAGGAAGGTTGCCTATCCTCAGTGTGTTGTGCTGGCAACAGAGAGTCAAAACATTGTCAGTTCCTAAATTCCACTCATAGCTATGATCATCAGATCTAAGTCCAGGGGCGGTTGGGGTATGGACTAAAGGTTAAAGCGTTCTCTCGTCAGGCCGAAGACCTGGGTTCCACTTCCCTCCTGGGTACAATGTATGAAGCCTATTTCTGGTGTCCCCCGCCGTGATATTGCTGGAATATTGCAAAAAAGCGGCATAAAACCATATTCACTTACTCACTCATTGAATCCATCTCTTAAACCCCAATCCGAACGATGGCCACCCATTAATCCCGATCCTAGCGATGGCCACCTGATAATCCCGATCCTAGCCTTGGCCACCTGTTAATCCTGATCCTAGCGATGGCCACTTGTTAATCCCGATCCTAGCGATGGCCACCTGTTACTCCCGATCCTAGCGATGGCCACCTGTTAATCCCGATCCTAGCGATGGCCACCTGTTAATCCCGATCTTAACGATGACTACCTGTTAATCCCGATCCAAACGATGGCCACCTGTTAATCCCGATCCTAGCGATGGCCACCTGTTAATCCCGATCTTAACGATGGCCACCTGTTAATCCCGATCCTAGCGATGGCAACCTGATTACCCCGATCCTAGCCTTGGCCACCTGGTAATCCCGATCCTAGCGATGGCCACCTGTTAATCCCGATCGTAGCGGTGGCCACCTGTAATCCCGATCCTAGCGATGGTCATCTGTTAATCCCGATCCTAGCGATGGTCACCTGTTAATCCCGATCTTAACGATGGCTACCTGTTAATCCCGATCCTAACGATGGCCACCTGTTAATCCCGATCCCAGCGATGGCCACCTGTTAATCCCGATCCTAGCGATGGCAGCAGGTTGGTCCCGATCCTAGCGATGGCCACCTGGTAATCCCGTTCCTAGCGATGGCCACCTGTTAATCCCGATCCTAGCGATGGCCACCTGTTAATCCCGATCCTAGCGATGGCCACCTGCTACTCCCGATCCTAGCGATGGCCACCTGTTAATCCCGATCCTAGCGATGGGTACCTAATAATCCCGATCCTAGCGATGGCCACCTGTTAATTCCGATCCTAGCGAAGGCCACCTGTTGGTCCCGATCCTAGCGATGGCCACCTGGTAATCCCCATCCTAGCGATAGTCACCTGGTAATCCCATTCCTAGCGATGGCTACAGGTTGGTCCCGATCTTAACGATGGCCACCTGTTAATCCCGATCCTAGCGATGGCCACCTGTTAATCCCGATCTTAACGATGGCCACCTGTTAATCCCGATCCTAGCGCTGGCCACCTGGTAATCCCGTTCCTAGCTGTGACCACCTGTTGGTCCCGATCCTAGCGATGGCCACCTGGTAATCCGGATCCTTACGATGGCCACCTTTTAATCCCGATCCTAACGATGGCCACCTGGTAATCCCGATCCTAGCGATGGCTACCTAATAATCCCGATCCTAACGATGGCCACCTGTTAATCCCGATCCTAGCGATGGCCACCTGGTAATCCCGTTCCTAGCGATGGCTACCTGTTAATCCCGATCCCAGCGATGGCCACCTGTTAATCCCGATCCTAGCGATGGCAGCAGGTTGGTCCCGATCCTAGCGATGGCCACCTGGTAATCCCGTTCCTAGCGATGGCCACCTGTTAATCCCGATCCTAGCGATGGCCACCTGTTAATCCCGATCCTAGCGATGGCCACCTGCTACTCCCGATCCTAGCGATGGCCACCTGTTAATCCCGATCCTAGCGATGGGTACCTAATAATCCCGATCCTAGCGATGGCCACCTGTTAATTCCGATCCTAGCGAAGGCCACCTGTTGGTCCCGATCCTAGCGATGGCCACCTGGTAATCCCCATCCTAGCGATAGTCACCTGGTAATCCCATTCCTAGCGATGGCTACAGGTTGGTCCCGATCTTAACGATGGCCACCTGTTAATCCCGATCCTAGCGATGGCCACCTGTTAATCCCGATCTTAACGATGGCCACCTGTTAATCCCGATCCTAGCGCTGGCCACCTGGTAATCCCGTTCCTAGCGATGGCCACCTGTTAATCCCGATCCTAGCGATGGCCACCTGTTAATCCCGATCCTAGCGATGGCCACCTGCTACTCCCGATCCTAGCGATGGCCACCTGTTAATCCCGATCCTAGCGATGGGTACCTAATAATCCCGATCCTAGCGATGGCCACCTGTTAATTCCGATCCTAGCGAAGGCCACCTGTTGGTCCCGATCCTAGCGATGGCCACCTGGTAATCCCCATCCTAGCGATAGTCACCTGGTAATCCCATTCCTAGCGATGGCTACAGGTTGGTCCCGATCTTAACGATGGCCACCTGTTAATCCCGATCCTAGCGATGGCCACCTGTTAATCCCGATCTTAACGATGGCCACCTGTTAATCCCGATCCTAGCGCTGGCCACCTGGTAATCCCGTTCCTAGCTGTGACCACCTGTTGGTCCCGATCCTAGCGATGGCCACCTGGTAATCCGGATCCTTACGATGGCTACCTAATAATCCCGATCCTAACGATGGCCACCTGTTAATCCCGATCCTAGCGATGGCCACCTGGTAATCCCGTTCCTAGCGATGGCTACCTGTTAATCCCGATCCTAGCGATGGCCACCTGTTAATCCCGATCCTAGCGATGGCTACCTAATATTCCCGATCCTAGCGATGGCCACCTGTTAATCCGGATCCTTACGATGGCCACCTGTTAATCCGGATCCTAGCGATGGCTACCTGTTAATCCCGATCCTAACGATGGCCACCTGTTTATCCCGATCCCAGCGATGGCCACCTTTTAATCCCGATCCTAGCGATGGCCACCTGTTAATCCCGATCCTAGCGATGGCCACATTTTAAATCCCCACCACAGCGATGACCAACCCTCTAAATCCTATTAGAAGCCATGATCAGCTCTCAAATTCCAATCCTATCACTGACCACCTGTTAATCCTGATCGTAACAATGGCTACATTTACCAGCCATAACGATGATCAACCCTCTAAATCCCATTTGAAGCACTGATCAGCTCTTAATTCCGAGTCACAGCAACGACATCTGCTACAACTGCGCTCAACATCACCACGTCACCTTCTTTCATGGACTGATAATTTCCTGTTCATTGAGTGACATACTGAAGCTAACCTAAGTCGTATAGGGTGTGTTTCCTTTGTATGAATCATTGAGGATTTCCCTGTAGTGCCCGGATATTACGGAAGCCTTTTAGGCTCATTTGTTTTTTTCCCTTGAAATTTCAACTTAGTATCTTTAAATTTCAAAATGTTATGTTGAAATTTCTGTATATTAACTTGCAATTTGAACTTATTATCTTGAAATTTCAAGATCACTATCTTGAAATTTCAACTTAGTGTGTATCTTAAAATCTTAACATAACATCTTGAAATTTCAACTTAGTATCTTGAAATTTCAAGAAACAAAATACAAATACAAATGGCCCCAAAAGGCTTCCGTACTATATAGACAGATTATACCCGGATGTACACGAGGTGCTTGTGTTGCAAGGGGACACTTGTTATGAAAGTGAGAGTACAATAACTTTTAAATTATATGTACACAGTACGTAACAACATGTGTCAATTTCCTGCGCTGTGTTTATTATTAAGGAGATGAGTTTCAAGTCCGCGTAACTGTGCCGGCTGTAGCATGTTCTGTAGAGGATTAATAACTCTCACCGTGTAGATATGTCCCAGCAACCTCTGCTGGTTCTAAGAGGGGACTCGGATGGTCAGGCCTGGAGACTATAGGGTTGATTGCGGGTCAACATTCCCCGATTCCCGTGGATCGTTGTTCACAATATCGATCACCGGATTGTCTGGTTCAGACTCGATTGCTTACATGCCATCGTCATTTAGGTGGAATATTGCTTAATGCGGCGTTAAACAACAGACATACAAATTTGTTACCCCGGCAAAGATTTACCGTATTCGACGTAATAAGCGCCCCGCTCTAATACGCGCCCACGGCGATATTTGCAAATATTTGGCTAGTGAACTATCCCAATCAGCACCCCTTCCGATTGATCAATGTACACAAGACTTATTTATTTGTGTATAATACGCACTCGTGTGTTATGTGCATCCTTAATTATGGGCAACTGAATTCTGGAAAATATACCTGTCGCATGCAAACATTTCAGGCTGTTTTTTTTTCTCACCAAAATAATATTCTAATAAGAGCCCCTATTTCTAATTTCGAGAGCGCCCTAGGCGCTGATTACGTCGAATACGGTATGTGAAGCATTTCTGAGGCCTCGTCTTCGACTCGCGAGTCAAGATATAGGGAGTCAAGGGAAATATAACTTCATATGTAAAGCGGTCCCCGGTACTCCTTGAACGCTAATCGCCGCCCTGAGCAACATCCAGTCAAATGGGTCTTCATACATATTACAAAGAAAGAGGAAATCGAAAAATAGCATTAGCGTCGAGCGAAACTACAGTTCTTCCCGTTGTATATGCAGAAATTCAGCTTTGGGATGTGTTGGAATATAATCTCCAGCCTCACGTGGATAAGGAACTTGTATAGTACAGACTATTTGTGGTGAAATGGACGACTGAAATAGTCATGATTGCAACATACACGTACTTGAAGGAGGCGCGTGAGTTGGGTTATCGCGACATCAACACGCGTCAATCACAATCCTCGTTCTCTCGTGCGCCGCGTGTGCTGTTCTACTGCACTATAAGGTATTTTTCCTTGTGGCTTTGTCTCGCATAATTCGCTCAGGGTAAAAATCAAACATTGCAGTATTAGCTGAGATTGTTTTGTGCGTTTCATTCAGATATATTCAAGAATTTCTTACCTGACACCGTATACATGCGATGATTCACAGTGACCAACAACCGGCTTGGAATTTTGGGTAAAGATATCGATTTTCCACTGTTGGAGTCACTCGAATTCATTATACCGCTCTCCGTGCACAGAAGCGGTGTCTCCGCAGTCTTTGATAACACTGCACATGCGCGTACGCAAAACCCAGACAATTTTTAATCAATAATTATGCTATTTCATTTCAGTAAAATATTGATAAACTAGTAATATTTTTTACATTATACTAAACACTTCCTCGAATCTTTTGTCTGCGCGAAATGGACGTTGACAGATGTGGAGGGGGTTTAATCTGGGGTGAGACGGATCGATCAATAACTCTATATTAATGAGCGTGGCGCGAGCTGCATTGGGAGACTGGAACATAATTGGAAGTCAGGGAAAATGGCCGAAAGTTCCGAACCGAATATATCCGCCTCATCGCTGAAGCCAGTTGATGTGAGCCCCATGTGCAGCGGAGGTATGAAGTCCCCAACAGACGACCCACCCGACTCGGAGAATACAGCAGAATATCAAATAGTGGCGGCCATAGATTTTGGTACAACGTTTAGCGGCTATGCGTATTCATTCGCCTCTAACAAAGACGCGATACATGTTAACAAGAACTGGGGCCAAACTCAGGGATTTCTTTTGCATAAAACTCCCACCTGCCTTTTGCTTAAATCCGACGGTCAGTTTGAAGCATTTGGGTTTGAAGCTGTGTCGAGGTATAACGATCTCGCCGAGGATGAGGCCGGGGATTATTACTACTTTGACAGGTTCAAGATGAAGCTGTACGACAATAAGGTGGGTACTGGTGTATTTCCTTTGTTTTGAAACTATACAATATCCATGTATCCATCTTTCATTACAGTCTGATTGAAGTATTCTTCTTCCAATCTGCCGTCGGGTCATGTCACATCGTGTGTTGATTCAGCTGATATTTGATAATTTTACAGTAATTAAACTCCATATAAATGTTTTTATTTCATGCATGGATGCTCGTTCTTTGTTCTGTTGTCATCGCTTGATATCAATCGAAGTATCTCATCATGAATAATGTCTAAGCTATGTCGTTCCGCATATTTTAGTCATGTTATAAAGAGCTAGATTGTGACATAATACTGTGTAAGACCCACATGGAGTGATCATGTGACCTATCACGTGACTCTGCAAACACGTGCTTCCTCTGAGCGGTACCGTTACTTTTATAGCAAAGCAATTTGTTCCTAAACGAAAAGTAGAATTGTGTGTCACTCAAATATTCGAATAACCGACAAGCATCTGTCATAAACCATGTATGTATTATAAATATAAATCATATAAATTGAAATGGACGGAATAATCAGCTGATTGAACATACGGGGCGTTCCATAGGCGGAACCAGATAGGTCATTAGTCATCTGTCTTAGTAAGCATATAACGTTGAGAACACTAACCAGTTAAAAACATTCTTCCTACGTATAGTTAGAACATGGTTATTAATATTCATTTGTGAACAGACAATAAGTAAAAACTAACTGTAGACTCGTTTTCCGTGACTGTAACATTTACAGTTAAAATACGTTTACTAACTATAGAGCAGACGAGTTAACGTAAAGGTCAAGGTCGACTGAAGTCGGTTTGAAGATGTAATTTCCTTTTATATACATGAGCAGTTCCAAATATTTCCTTGTTAAATCTATATAGATCGATCACTGTATAACGTAGATGACAGACGAGAAGGATATAAACCCAAATAAGGAGTTTCAATGTAATATTCCTACTTTAGTATGAGGTTCCGTTTTACTATTTATTCCCTGTTTTATTATAGTAATGTCATTTATTGATGTCACAATCTCAGTTTATAAAAAAGGTTTCTATATATATAAATATCAGTAAAACGCATGTGTTATAATCTATCAACAAATCTAATTGTAGATTTGAATATTAATAATTGTTTTTACAATTTCGATATTTATTTCACTAGCGATGTTTAGATATCACAGATTCGTATGTCCCTTTTCAGTATTGATATCTAAAAATCGGATGTGTAATAAATCATCAATTAGGAACTGTTCAGCGAGTGATAGTAACTGAATTATTTCATAAAGGCAGTGGCAGAATTAAACCTAAAGGTAATGATATTATTGGGGATTATTTGGAGTTATCCCACTGTATGCCAGGTTTATGGTTGGTCTGTTGTTTAACGCTGCACTCAGCAATATACCAGCTACATGACGGCAGTCAGTAAATAATCGAGTCTGGACCAGACAATCCAGTGATAAATATCATGAGCATCGATTTACGCAATTGGGATCGATGACATGCATCAACAAAGTCAGCGAGGCTGACCACCCGATCCCGTTAGTCGCCTCTTATGATAAGCATAGTCCCCTTTAACAGCAAGCATGGGTTGCTGAAGACCTATTCTACCCCGGATGTTCACAGGTTTATGGTGCTTGCCAGCCCACTGAGATACCATGCCGCAGTTTTACGTGGATACACCACCTAGACACGGTATACTGACTCCGAGCTGACCAGTCCAGGCAGGGTTACTAATAACAACAAATACCATCTATTGCAGGAGCTGAATGCAGACATCACGCTGAAGGATGCTAATGGCAAGAGTCAGCTTGCTGTGGATGTGTTCGCACACTCCCTCAACTTCATGAAGAAACACATGCTACGTGCTATCGGGGCTCACCTGGGTTACGACCCCCACCCCGACACCGTCCGCTGGGTGCTCACCGTCCCCGCCATCTGGGACGAGAACGCCAAGCAGTTCATGAGGGAGGCAGCGTACAGGGTATGTTGGATGATATACCGTATTCGACGTAATAAGCGCCCATGGCGCTCTCAAAATTAGGGGGCTCTTATTAGAATATTATTTTGGTAAAAAAAAAAAAAACAGAGTTGAAAGAAAAATTTCGTGGGTTCTGCTGACAGCCTGAAATGTTTATATACGACAGATATATTTTTCCAGAATTTAATTGCCCACAATTAAGGGTGCATATAACACATGAGTGCGTATTATACGCAAATAAATAAGTCTTTTGTGATCAATCGGAAGGGGTGCTAATTGGGATTGTTCACTAGCCAGTATATTAGCAAATATCGCCGTGGGTGCTTATTAGAGAGGAGCGCTTATTACGTCGAATACGGTAACTAGAATATTCCTCTCTGCAGCATAAAATAACATTGATATTCATGGGTGGATCCAGAGGGGGGATTCTAGTAGTATGTTGTAGGCAGTAAAATTGACGGAGAGGATTTTGATATTTTAGATCAGCTGATTCTTTAAGTTATAGTTATAGTTTCGATTATATATATGACCATGGTCCATATTTAATATCATTTTGATATTATGTCTTTTTGTTTTAAGGAACCTTGACATTTAATTGTAACTGTTAGACTCTTATTTGTCACATTTCCGAGTCCATGTACACATACAGTATATATGGAAGACTAACACTTGATCCTTTCGAGATACCTCAAAGGCAGTGTTCAAAAATGAAAATGGCCAGTAGGCCCGAGGCCAACAGATTTGTTCTCAGGCTGATAGTTTTAAATTTCAGCAGGCTCTTACAGTTTATTTAAATAATTTATTTATTGAAGTAATGTGATAAACATAACTGTCATATTTATGAACATTAGCATTAGACCTTTCAAATGGTGTATGATATGTAGTCGCAAAGATGTTTTACAAGCTGACAATTTCCTAATAAATGTAGGCTTCATCTATCACCACTCAGTCTCTAGGAACTCGGTGTGATGGCAGAAAAAGCTTCTTGTTGACTACAGTTTTTCCACTGGGCCTACAGTTTTTTAAATGTACTGGCCCTTAAGGCTCTCAGTTCACTCTGCTGAGTTTCAGGAAGATTAGGGAAAGAAACAAGTTTAGAGTTACCTCCCTTCCATTATTGACACAGATCTATAATCTGATCATAATTTGTTGAATACCGGTAGTTGATATTGTTATATTGATAGTAAATGAGTTGGTAACCCGTTTAACTTTTAATTTTTCATATTTCAAACTTTTGAGTCAGAGGAATCATAAACTAAGTTTGAAAAAGGGTCTGTCGCCCAGTTATCACAAACCAGATTCATACCTATGGAGAGAGTGGGTTAAATAACATTGAAACTATTCCCCTACAGCCATGAACTATTGTTTTAGTTAGTGAGTGATATCTGCAATGACACAACACAACCTGAAGGTAATAGTATTATCGTGGCACATATTTCACAAATATTTAGAGTTATTCCCCTTTGCTCCATCTCCAAAGCATGTTTTGGGGTTTAACACAAGGGGGAACAACATTCTATATTTAATTTTGTAGCCTGTAGATTATCAGTAGTATTAAATGCTTCAAAGAGCGTTCAGTTACTTGATATTTGTTGGATAATTTAGTTTGTGAATGATATTAGGTCAAGACTCTGATAGGCATGGCAACTTACAGAAATCCCTGATGTGAAATGTTAGTTCATGTGTGTAATCGGAAAACAGCAATGCACACAATTTAGCTCACCTGTCTGTGTTGCAGGGTTCTCTGATCCTGACGCCCCACAGTGAGCAGCTGGTGATGGCCCTAGAGCCCGAGGCCGCTTCCCTGCACTGCCGCAACCTCCCTGCTACAGACTTCGTCGGTTACAAGGACACTGCACAGGCATCCAACCCTTGCTTCGAGCCCGGCACCAAGTACCTCGTCGTGGATGCTGGAGGTACATGCATGTCATATTAGCAGTTTTGTAGATCTGTGTAGACTCATATTTGTATTGCAGGGAAGTGTCAACGCGCATGTTGACGGGGAACTAGTTCTTGGGGGAATAAAGGAGAAAATCGACATCACTGTCCCGGAACGCTTTATGCACAACATGTAAACAATAAACAACAATTGCACAATGAGCGGAATACCTGCTCTGACAACACAAACACAGCGATGAGCGGACCTTCCAGCTCAGGCGTACAAGAGATGAGAGCTCCAGCTCACCTCAGGGCGTTTCCTACGAGCGGCACATCCTGCTCGAGGTCGTCCCTATGCCAGCACTCGGAATACCAAGCCTGACTAACACCGTAGTAACTGTGTAATGGTAGCACATATATAGTACTGAACAATGGAAATACAATGACGTTGCTCTGGACATGGGACTTCCGGGGGTGACGTACCGACACAACTCAAGGGATGAACAATTAAGGCAATAAATGTCATCCTATAAATAACAGTAATTAACGGGAAGTGATAAAGTAGCTCAGTTTGGCTGTCAGTCAATATACAATGAAATCTTGGTGAGGATTAACAATGGGGATTAGCGCCTAAAACGTAATGACAATTAAGTTATGGAGACATGGCTACAGGGTAATTTGCCTTTGGAGTCAAATGTACTTCAGACAATGGTAGTCGTAAATCAGTTGCTATGACAGGAGCATCATTGAATTTTCCACCTTCTCAATGTCCATCCTAACCCTGGTAATCTTAATAAATGTAACGTTTCTCTGGCAGTGAATTATTAATTTAGTATCAATATTCATATACTTGTATCAATACAGGATCAGTATTATGAATATCTTGATACATTAAATAATATCGCGATATATAAAGACATCCCTGCCCTATGCTTTAAGAGCTGACTAAGTTAGGAATTGGCTGACTGTGTGCCATGGCTGCCTGATTGGGGATCGTTACTCGTGCTTTCAGACATTGGTTGGTCTGGCCTGATTTGTATATAAACAACCACTTAAACAATTCTGGGAGGTGAGGATTGATACATTAAACATTCACCAATGGGGAATAACACCTGAATTAGCTAGGGTGTTTAACACTAATTCATGTGTTAAAAGAAACTGTTAGCCAATCAACTGTAAGAAGAAGGCAGCCATGTTTGTAAATCATTAAAGTAAATTTATATTTATTATATGGTTTGGTTGGAGATTTCTTTTATCAAAGGACGTGATGTCAAATCAGGCTCACCCTTCCTAATAGTGTATTGTAATCATGACTCATACTTCTTAATCCCTTCAGCCCTTTAGGGGCACAATTCAATGTGCAGAGTTGTATCCCTTGGACATGTCAGAAACATATCAATGGGTTCGAATCCCGGTTCACCCCGATTATGATTTTAGGTTTGTCAGCACCATACCAGTGCTCCTGGGTTTCACTAAAATTGTTAACGTTCCTCCCACATTACGCCAACATGCCGTGATATAACTGGTATACTTTTACAATCGGTGTTAAACAAACTCACTCACTCACTCCAGTGATAAATGCCTGATCCCTGACTATTTGATCTTATGAATACACAACTGATGGGACACTGCATCTTACAAGGAATTTCTTTAGAAGTGTTATAAGATCAAGACTGGAGCAGTCTCCATTTTATTATGATGAAATGAAATAATGTCTTGATATCTTTACAAAAAAATAAATAAATACAACAGAAGATATAATTTAAAAGATAATGTAAAAAATAGAAATGATGTTTCCAGAGGACTTAAATGTATTCAGAACACACCAGTGATGAGGAAAGAAGTGTTCCTCTTTTTTTTCATATTATCTTTTTTCTATACCTTTTTTATTTATTTTAGAAACACATGCTGCTTCTGTCCTATATCAAATGTTGTTTACTCACTAATGGTGTGTTCTTTATTTAGGTGGAACTATTGATTGTGTGGCCCACAAGATCCGAAAGGACGGGAGGATCCGGGAACTGTTCCGCGCTACTGGTGGGGCCTGGGGTGGCACCATCATAGACAAGCAGTTCCTGAATCTTCTCCACAGAATCTTCGGCAAAGACTTCATCACTGAGTTCCAGCAGAATTACCCCAAGGATTTTGTGGAACTTCTGCAGGACTTTGAGATCAAGAAGCGAGGAGAGTGTGATAGTATCCGTGTGTCTCTGCCTTACAACTTCTGTAACTTCAAACACAATCGTGTCAGTGTACAACAAGCTATCAAAACATTCGCTGCCGACAATAACAATGAAGTCAAATTCTCGTCTGGGAAGCTGGTGTTGACGTCGGCAGTCGTGACGTCACTGTTTGCCGATGCCTTAGCACAGATTAAAGACCATGTAGACCAGCTTCTCCAGAAGCCAAAGACCAAAGACTTGCATTACATCTTCCTGGTGGGTGGCTTTGCAGAATCCAGTCGTTTGCAACAAGCTCTGAAAACTCATTTTAGCGAAAGGGTGACGTGCCTTGTTCCAGATGAAGCTAGTCTTGCAGTTGTTAGGGGAGCAGTAGCATTCGGGCACGATCCTAGTTCAATATGGCAGAGGATCTGTCGTTTCACGTACGGTGTGGGGTCATACTTGCCGTACGAGGAAGGGGTGCACCGAGAGGACCTCCGAGTCGTCTCAGACGGTGTCACCCTCTGTAAGAACATATTACAGACGTGGGCCGAAGCTGGAGAGACGATTGGCCACAATGAGATATGGAGGGAAACATACACTCCCATTATAACCAACCAGAAAGGAATTATTTTCGAGTTCTTCCGATCTTCTAAGAGACATGTGAAATACACGGATGAGGCCGGGGTTGAGAAATGTGGGTCACTGATAGTCCGCATGCCAGATCTAACTGGGGACAAAGAGAGAGCGGTGGACCTCGAGGTCATATTCGGTGGAACGGAGATCAAGGTCGTGGGATACGATCACACCAGTACAAATAAGTATGAGACATTGATAGACTTCCTGTCATCCTAACTTTCTCTCCTGAAAACTGTTTGCCAGTTTGACATAAAAACATGAATGTACAGAAATATTCTCTCCTCCATGTTAGAAGAGGCAGGTGGACCAACATGGAACGTCAGCTCCAACTCCAGCTTGTCAGATGCTTCAATGAAAGACAGAGGAGTCCATTCATACATGGGGTCAGTTGAGCAGTATGTTGCTCTTTACAAACGTTTCTACACTGCATGTGCAAATCATGTGCTAATGCTTGATCTCCCCATGACATCAACATGGACTGCTCCAGATTCGCAGCCATTAGGCCAAACTAAACAATCATGGTTTGGTTGATCTTAACTGTCAAAAATATATATCCTTACTCAAATATAATCTGTTACTGGACCTGATTTTCAGGCATGATGAACGAAGGGACTGGTCTATTCTATACACTGGAATCAGAAATGTTTATTTATTTAAGGAAACTTTATGTTTTTTCTACTATCATTTACTCCAGCTCTATTTATCTATATAGAAGGATGTTTCATAGTGAAAGGACAAATTATTTAAATCATTTATTAACAATCATTATTTTAATCAGAATATGTTTCCTGTTACTAAGAATTACTCAATTTTGTAAAAGGTCATGATAGATTAACTGTCAGTACCAGATTTATTTATTTTCCTAATTATCCCTCTAGTTTGTTTCTATCAAATAGGAATTGAACCTCCATTCCACCCAGAGAATTTCCATTTATTCCTACACATATTGACTACAATTTTTATTAAAACAAGACATTTAATTTTGGGGACTAGAAATAAAAATATCATTGGTCATCTTCCATGCTGATAAACAACTATGTGGAAAGTCATGTAAAAAATCAAGAAATATCAGAAAGAGGTCGTAAAAGAAACAACACTCAAATGGTGAGGGTAATCTTTCCTTTATCTGGCATACATAAAAATATATCAACTTAAGTAACAAACTTGATACTTCCCACTCAGCCATCATTGTTTATCCAGTTTATAGTATCTCCTTCCTATTATGATAATGCCCTTGACCCTATTACCACCAAAGCTTTGCAGGGATCACTCAGCACAGAACTTCTTCTCCAATTGAGTGTAATTTGATTGCATTGCAATTTTTGCAAATATGTTTGGGTGACTATTTAGCATAGTCTAATGTAATTGGATGGTTGTTTTTAACATAGTGTAATTTGATTGGATGGCTATTTTAGCATAGTGTAATTCAATTGGATGGTTGTCTTTAACGTAGTGTAATTTGATTGAATGGTTATGTTTAGCAAGGTGTAACTTGATTGGATGGTTATTTTAGCATAGTGTAATTTAATTGGATGGTAGTTTTTAATGTAGTGTCATTTGATTGGATGGTTATGATCAGCTTGGTGTAATTTAATTGGATGGTTATTTTTAGCTTAGTGTAACCAACTAGATGGCTATTTTTAGCATAGTGTAATTTGATTGGCTGGCTATTTTTAGCATGGTGTAATTTGAGTCAGAACCAAAGTTTGGAAGTCAATGGATCCAGACTATTTATCCCAGTAGATGGAGATACTATACACTGGATAAACTAGAATGTCTTGATAAAGATTTCAGATTTTGATAAAACATTAACCAAAGTTTGCTTTATGTGTAACTCTAATCAACTCATTGAAATAAATATTTTGATTACGTCTTTATGACTTTCTCCGCGATATATACTCCCTAATTATAGCCTACAAACAGTGTTTGCCATGCCCTGGCCTTATAACCCGCCTCTCTTTCAAACTGAAGCATGCTCGTTGGAATGTTGTGATGAAACTAGACTTAGAGATATTGTTATATGTATAATTGTCAATACTGGTTAGAGGACTGAATGTATTCGCTAACAAATGCTTGTCTTGTCTGATATTTGCTGTCATAACATTCCCAGGATAATTACCAGAGAAAAGTGTCAGCTGTCATTACTGATTAGATAAGCCAAGTTCTAAAACACAAGAATGTTGAACTCTTACTTCAAATTTGAACAAATAAAATATACTGCACAAATAGGTAATTAAACAATATGCTTCACACGTCTGCTCAATGTAGGGTCAAGGTCAGGTTCTATCAAGCAATAACTGGTTTGTCCCTCCGCCACCATCACCCCCCCAACATTTTTTTGTATGTTTCCTGTTTCAGCTGATTAGAAAATAAAGTAGGTAGTTTGAATTTTTAAAATTTCATTTACTTATTTTTTTTAATATCAATTTCATCTTTGAAAAATGGTAAGTTTGCAGTATCTTAGCAAGTGCCATCTTCAAGGAGATTTGAAATATGGAGTTTAACGTCATGTTCAAGATTACTGCACTTACATAACAAGTGTATGCACATGTGTGGCTGTTTGCACTAGTCTGGTTTAATAGTGCTACCCCACTGAGACACCATGCCGCAGTTTAACATGAATACCCCAATCAGACACCTCATGTGGACTCCCAAGTTGACCAGTCCTTGTTTTAGCCCTTTATGCTGAACGTCAAGGCAGGGTAACGAGTACCATCTCTTAATGTCGTTTGGTTTGACTTGGCCAGGGGATCGAACCACCACCTTTCCACACTCCAGGCAGATGTTCTATCCACTGGACAACAGAGGCGGTCCCCTGTTTCAATGAAGATGACAGGTTTATCTAACGCACAATAATTTACTTAAGTTGCATAAATCCATATAGGCCACAGGGATTTTAACAAATTATTTCCTGAAAGCTAAGTATTTTAGGCTTAAAAAATAAAAGAATTGGTTCTCAGGCAATGACTTTTGAAAATATAGTGCAGGTTGGCGGTGGTGTTTTCTTTCTTCGCTTGTTCAAACTTGTATGTAACCAAATAAACAGTTGTGTACCATCAACCTGGGAAAGGGCCTTCCTACATACACAAGCATACAAACTCCTACACTGGTCGGTCGGGTAGCCTAGTGGTTAAAGCATTCGCACGCCGAGCCGAAGACCCGGGTTCGATTCCCGACATGGGTACAATGTGTGAAGCCCATTTCTGGCGTCCCCTGCCGTGATATTGCTGGAATATTGCTAAAAGCGGCGTAAAACCATACTCACTCACTCACCTACAGCCGCCATGACAATAACACGAGATGTACAGTAAAGCAGTGCATATATAAAGGGAGGTAACTGTGTGCTATATTGGATCACTTTGGTTTGAAGTACTTAGGATTTATATATTTATTTTGAAAATGGAAATAAAAACGAAACATGCGGCAGACATTAAGATGATGCGGGTGGTGCCTGAGAACCAAGACTCTTAATTTTCTAAGTTTTATCCTTAGGTTTTAAGCTATTTGAGTTCTATGAACTTGAACAAGTTGTCATCCATTGGGACATGCTCTACACCAGGTTCTGTCGTGACAGTCTCTCCCATCACATGACTGTTCTTGGAAATATACACCTTGAAAACGTTAACATGACGCCTTGCTTAATTTTCATAAATCCCAGATTTCCATGCACAGTATCCATTGAAATATCTACACAACATTACCGGTAATCTCACCCATAATGATAAATGTTTAAGATAATACATGTAACAACACCTGCTGAAGTGTTTGTACAAGGACACTGCATGTTTCTCCTGATGGCTGAAAGTACCAAGGCACATCACACGAGGCAAAAATTCTGACGAACCAGTTTAAAGGGTAGTCGAGTATCATTGCCATAGCCATTAGATGTCAGCAGATCCAATATTTTATCAGTCTCATTAAAATCATAAATGTTACCCTAAAACAACAACTCTCTGTGTTAACATCTGAGGACACTGATAGACTTTGCGTGGGTGATCCCTGATTGAACTTTGACCCAATCTAAAAGAAGGCTGAGTGGGTTCTTTAGCCAATCAGCTGTCAGCTTTTCGTTGAACACCTTGATTCAGAAATTTTGATTTGTGCGAATGTAAAACCCCACAAAAAACATATATCCATGGTGCTCAGAATCAACAGGATGTATAACACATCCACGACAATATAATGGTGCCGCTAAACTTCTACTTTCGGAACTTTAGTCATTTTAGTTCCGTTTCAAGCTACAGAAATCTAATATGCCGGTTTGACTTGTTATACAGAGTATCAAGCCTTGATACTACTGATTGGCTGAGGAGAAAGTTCCTCTGACGTGACCTACAGATCTTCATGTATCGTAGTGAAGTCAAAGGTATCATGATGATGAGATTCTTTCAGTTTCTGTATTTCAATGTGGGTATGTCATTTTGTGAGCAGAAACAAATGTATGTATCAGAAATGAACACAGAATATGATTTATAAAAATGGTGTTTTAAAAAATATGTGGAAATATGTAGTAAGTAATATTCAACCTTTTTCAGGTGTATATTTTGCAGGAGTTGTCTCCCTTCATCGACAGTGTTGGAAGGGACTATCTGTGCGCTACTCCACAAACTGGCTGTATATAAGATTTGTCTTCATTTATATTTTGTACACTAAGTGTTCTATGATTATTTTGTACATAATCACAGTTTGAGCTGTAATTCACAGTATGACAAATATCGACTTCTGAACATGTTCTTCAAAAGCCTGAGGTCATCACTTTTTATGTTGGATCACAGATCTACCGACCATATCTTGATCAAATCAGAAAATTAAAAAATAATACCATCCCCCACACATGCGAAAATATTTGAGACTACTCGACATTAAACAAAAAACATCACAGTTTCACAAGTCATATGATGCTCAGTTACCTTAAACTTTTTCTTCCAAATTTTGAATGCATTTTGCACACTTTTAAAACTTTGAAAATCAGGTCCACAAGTAGGCCCAACTGTGCAGAGTTATACCCCTTGCCAGAAACCCCCATCATGGGTTTGAATCCCAGTTTCCCCCTGACTGTTGTTTCTAGGTTTGCCATCACCATGGTAATGGGTGGAGTTCACCAAAGTGATACAGTGTAAGATAGGCATCACTTCAGACATTCCTCCCACGTGAATCTGACATGCTGTGATATACCATATTCAACGTAATAAGCGCCCAAAATAAGAAATAGTGGGCTCTTATTAGAATATAATTTTGGTGAAAGGGTTGAAAGATCGTAAATTTCCTGGTTTATGCTGATAGCCAGAAATGATACAAAAGAAAAGTCTGTGCATATTTTACATTTTTCAAGAATTTAATCCCCGTAATTAAGGGTGCATATAACACACGAGTGCGTATTATACATGAATAATTCAGTCTTGTGTACATGGATCAATCGGAAGGGTGCTAATTGGGATTGTTCACAAGCCCATATATCAGCAAATATCGCCGTGGGCACTTATTAGAGTTGGGCGCTTATTACGTCAAATACAGTAAACTGCTGAAAGCAGCTTTAAACCCACCTCACTATCCCAGAGGTACTTAAACTGTGGCAGAAGTACAGGTAATTTCTTTTCTGATTTTTCCTCCTCTGACTTCTGGCATAAAAAAATCTGTGATCTAACAAATATAAACAAGGTCTAATGTTTTTAATGTGTTCCACATGATGAACGCTTCAGTGTTCCGCTGCAACAGTTAAGGAGCTGTACATGTCATACTGTCACTGACAACTCACCTGTTTATTAAAGGTTGTATGTTACCTGTGATGGCCTTGTTCTATGCAAGATGTTAGTACCATATTAAACCTAATAACTGACAGAGTAAAGTCACGCGACAAATTCAATATAGTGGGTGATAGTGAGAGCAACATTTGTTTCTACACAGTGAGGTCCAGCCACCCTAGGACTAGCCATTGTGACCATACAATCCCCTATTTGAGTGACTCTTACAAAACGCATAGATGCGAGAACTTACGCAGCCTTGGGGTCGTCCTATAGGGGATGGACAAGGTGAGAGGGGGCATTAATTAATGTACTGTGTACCGAGTTATTTTTACATTACCATCATACAGCGGCATCAATACCAGGCACCAGTGAACCCATAGGATTCAAACCAGTCTTGTCAGGGATCGAATGCACTGCCCTGTTGACTACTGAGGTTTTCCTGAACATCCCATGTAGGAGAGGTTTTATGGATGCTGCTTCTGAAGTTATAGTTTCTAAATCTATTTGTATCTGAATGTATATCATGATACATATTGATGCATTTCCAGTCAATCCAGGTATCATTTATTAGGTTTAACATGGTACCTGTGTAACTGTCGTCTTCTCTTGCAGGGTGTTGTCCTTGGAGATTTGTGTAAATTTAAACATTCCTCTTGTCAATAAATGTTCATAAACAGAATTCCTGTAACGTTTGCATTGTTGTGTTCTGGATTAAAAAATAATTACTTTGAACAAAATATAATATTTAATGTAATTTATGCTTTCAGTGTATGTTCAGACACTAACTGTTTTTAACATACTATATATTCATGTATAGGTATCATCCAGGTATATCCAGGTATATCTTGCAGAAGCAGAAGCTTATTTGGTTGCAGTATTTCTGCAAGTGCAATCCTTCTTGTAAAGTTGTAAAGTCATTATTAATGTTTAGTTATTGTGACAACAACTTGGGTGTGTGAAAGTTACTGTTCATTTGACATTTGTTACAAGATTATTGCACTTACATTGTTGTTTAACGCCGCACTCAGCAATTGTCCAGCTGAATGAAGGCAGTCTGTCAATAATCGAGTCTGGACCAGACAATCCAGTGATATTCCACTTCTGTCATGGTGGCATGTAGATGATGAGTGAGTGAGTGAGTTGGGTTTACGCCACTTTTAACAGTATTCCAGTTATATCACGGTGTGCAAGCTTAATGTGGGAGGAAAGCCTGAAGTGATGCAGGTCTCAGACGTTTACCACTTCGGTGAAATCCACGAGCACGGGTATGGTGCTGAAAAACCTAGAAACATAATCGGGGCAAATTGAGATTCGAACCCACAATCATAGGTTCCTGGCGTGCCCAAGGGACGCAACTCTGCCCAGCAAATTGCGGCGCCTTAGACAACTGGGCCCCCTGTAGTTGATGAAGTCCGGACCGAGCAATCCAGTGACTAAAAGCATGCGCAGTAGGGCTGGGACGGTCAAACTCCATGGCTACACAACAAGTTGCTAAATGTTCGCATTTCTTTAAGACTATGCACGCATTCCTTCCGACTCTTATTTGTCTGAGTAAAGATAGCTTCAGGGAACTACAGTGTATGCATGATCAGATCATTTTATGTGTGTATCTAACCAGCTTTTGCCAGGGCTTTGGTAAAACTTGAGACTTAC